CAGAACTTTCTGCGAGCCCAGCTGCGTCAACTTTGAACTTCCCTACTGTGCCTTCCAAGCTCCCAGTCGTTCCGTAGCTCTTCTTAGTACTACGCAAGTAGAACAACTAACTCTCTGAGCGCAACGGAACTTGAATCTAGACTATCAAAGTTACTTGAGTCCCACACGTGTGTAATTTTTGAGCTCCTGCATTCGTGCATATCTTATTACGGAATGACAACTGCAATCTCGTACAAATCTGTCACAACTAAAAACTATCCTTCGGTGCACACCCACTGTGAACTCTACTACGCCGCTATCTCAGATCTGCCATTCCAGGCGAACATCGCCATGCCAACTTCTCAGTCCAAGAGGTCGGCAACGAGAGCACGAGCGAGAATCTCCTCCACACTGCGGGCGTGGTGGGGACGGTGCTCTCCGTGGTGAAGGCGGTGCTCGGCATGGTGGTGACGGTGCTCCCCGTGGTGAGGGCGGTGCTCAGCGTGATGACGGTGTTCTCCGTGATAGTGAGCGGGGTGGTGGTGGAAGCGTCCTGGGTGGTGGTGTTCGCCGCGGTAGCCATCGTGGTAGTGCCTGTGAGCTGAATGCAGTTCCCTACCCTCAGGCTGGTGCTCCTTGGGCATCCCAGCGTGGTATGCATCTTGCGGGCCAGGGCGACGCCCACCTACGTGAGCATGCTCCCCGCCCTCAGGCTTGTGCTCCCTGTGCTCCCCGTCATGATGTGCATAATGAGGGTCGGGGTGATGCTCATCCGCATGAGCGGGGGGCAGCTCCCTACCCTCGTGCCAGTTAGGCATGTGGTTATGCGTCAAGCGGTACGCAGGGCGCGTGTCGGGGAGACGTCGGTATGCGTGAGGCGAGTGCAGCGTCGTACCCTCAGGGTGGTGATGCTCCTGGTTCATCCCAGCGCGGTATGCGTCCTGTGCGCCGGGGCGGCGCCCGTCCGAGTGAAAGTCGTGGTGTTCTCCAGAGTGGTGCTTGTGCCCGTCGGCGTAAGTCGTCGGCTGGGGCGCCGGAGCCACTTGGTGTTGGGCTGCCATAGGGTGCTGAGGAGTCTCGGTAGAGCTATGAAAAGAAATCAAATAAGCGGATTTATCGGCCCGTCAGCGGGAGACGTACCCAGTGGGCAAAGCCAAAGCTGGCATCGCGACGGCGGAGAGAGCGAGAGCAGCAATAACTGAAGTGCGCATGATGAAGGGCAAGTGATGAAGAGAATTTAAGTCGTGAAAGAGAATAGAAATTGTAAGATGAGATCGTAGAGGTCGTCAAAAGAAATGCACAAAAGAACGTAGCAAAAGTTAGGCTAGGGATACAGGGTTAACCATAGCTCAACATTATGGCAAATGTTTGAATCAACTCACCAACCAGTACCAACTTTTGGGGCTCAAAGAACGTGAATGTAGGAGCTGAAGAATCGCCGTTGCCTGCACGCGATTTTATACACTTAGCGTCGAGCTGTCAAACACCCATCCTGACAAGAGAACTGTTACCCACCATCATACGACATCAGAGGGATGGCAGTTAAGATGGGCGCCGCACAGCCAGCGGTGACTCTCGAGATGTGACATGATCAAGGTACAACTTGACCGGTGACCCGCGGCCCGCTGGAGCAATGTTATTGCGCACAACATCGAAGTGGGAATACATGCATATATCCACGTCGATAGGCCCAATTGTAGGTGGATAAACTGGATCTTGAATCCAATGCAATCTGAAAACATTGGGCAGACGATAAATACAGCATGCACCATTTTTCAGAATCTCCACTCACGCCAAGCCGAATCTTGAATGATGGGTGGAGGCGGAGCTACCTAGATGTTTGAACTATCAGCAAAAAAGTGATGCCAGCCGGCGGTGTATTCAATGACAGCGCTGACTTGATCAGCCACGTCAACGTAGGCACAGCAACACAACGCGAGTCGCTCTAGACATTCCGAAGGCGACCGGTTCTTCGAAGCACCTGCGCGCTTCGATGTCCGATGACCTACACATGCCCGGCAATATGAACAAGCAATGACGACCAAAGCGCAATGTCGACATCCAATGACCTACAAATGCCGCATGGCAAGCCATATGAACAAGTTGTCTGTTGAGGAATCAATATGTCCGGATTGTAATCATCGTCAGCACCGAACTTTCCGGAGAAAGATGGCACAGCTACCGCAATATTTAGGGAAACCGCTGCACCGACATGTAAAAGATGACCAGAGACCATTAAGCGAACCAAGCGCGTAGTACGAGGGGGGTGACCATGACTTTTTCCAGCGCTGCGTGCACTGCCTTAAGATGATAGGGTATGAACGTAAGTTAGACCATCTCTGATATTCTCATTGATGTGATGAGACCATTAAGGTATTCGCTTTGCACGGCTAACAAGAATCTGGTACTCACGGAGGAAAACAAATTTGCGGTTGCCTGTAAGTTGTTAGAATTCCAAATTTCCCTTGTAACAGCAAGGCTCCTGCCCATCCATGAGCCTGGGAGAGGGCTCATAGCACAACTCGGAGACTCTTGAGGCACACCTTGTACGGTAATTGAGTTTTGATTTTTTTTTGGCTTCTGTTACATTTACAATGCTAAGAAGTGCTAGAGTCCTTCTTGAGGTCGAAGAGGATGTTTTTCACGAGATCAACTTCCTGCACGAATAGGCGGCGCTGGGCCACTCCGAACAGTGCCACACTGCTGACACCAACAGTACTCGCCGCGCTCGAGTAGCGACGCCTGCCCGCCGCGTTTGGGCAGCAGCACACATACGGGCCGCCGCGTTCGGGTAGCAGCAGCACACGCATGCCCGCCGCGTTCGGGCAGTGGCAATGGTCGCCGCGTCTATCCGCGGGCGAGCAGTACTCGGTCAGCGACTAACAGGAGCTTTCCTCACTCTTGTTCTAACCCTGCTTGCCTGTCGTGTCATCAGGAAACCTACCCTTGCCTAATTAGACCTTGTCCTAGCTGACTACTTTCAATCTTGTCTCATTTGATCTAATCCTCATGCATTGACTAAAAAAACTGGTCACTTTATTTTTCAAACTTCACTGGTAACTATAACGAGACACTTTTCACCATATAGTGTATAAGCCATTGTATACTACCATGATAGTTTTGAAATGTCATCATACAAGTGTGCATATTGGTGAATGGGTTTATCTGGAACTCCTTGCTCTGATAAGTACATTGATGCTGGACCAGTCTCATGGGGCAACAGTTCCAAAGATTAGGTAGTCACATATAGAGCCTTGCTGACAAGGGGGAAGCAGGTACGTACCGTCTATTACTTGTCCAAGATTGTACGCAGACACTTGAAATGGTTCAACTCGACCGCTGCCATAAAACAATTACAAGCATCTTGTGGCCGCTGCGGAGCCAACCTAGGTTCGATTCACTCGACGGGGTAAGTATTCGAGGTCTCCAAAAAACAGTACAGCTCGGAATGACATGCCAGTTGATGTGTTTGTGGCTGAGTGAGCGCTAAACGAGCATATCAGTCCCTGTCCATAAGGTAGGATGGTGGCTCCACGAGGATCTTGTGCCATTACAAATGCAGCATGTCGAACAATTTACCTATGTGAGAGTCACAAGAGCGGCCGAAGTGGCTAGAGCCTGAGGGTCACTCCAACTCACTGGTGCAAATACCCAAATCAGGACCGTTGAGGTGCTTCAGGTGTCTCAGTCTCTCAGATGTTGATAATGAAATCAGCATCTATATGTCTCTGAGACATATGAGTACGTTCTGCTAATGTGGCCCCAAGAGATAGACTTGTACCCAGCCGTTTCGTCTGGATACCGGAACGACTGAGCAAAACTGATCGCACCCTCTGGTGGGGACGCCCTATTTGGGGGTCGTGTAAACATACTTGGAAAAATCGCGTTTCTCACTCTTGAAGCACCCCCTTCAATGGAGGCGTCTCTTCTCTCTTGAAAGCAACTTGAAGGCACCTATTTCACGCAAGACGCCCAACTCCCTTATGTTAGTTGGGCTGATAGAATACTGAATCTGAATGTCCTGGAAGGCGGGCTACGACCTCGGGAGGCCCAAACCTCAAGGTTTGAAAATACTGCATCATATTTGATGCCAGCTGCAGATGGACGGTAATTATATTGATAGGTTTCAGATTGGGGGAAGCTATAAACACCTGCCTGCATCCAGCTAAGTTCTCCAGCTCCTTCTTTTCCTGCTCATCCAGAAGTCGGTACCGGCTGGTATGTAGGCCTTTGGGATGGTTTTCATTGCAACAGGAGATGAGCTTACTAGGATGCTTTTTTACAGCCTGACTTCTGTTACGTTGGTTTGTGTATTTGTCTGAACGATATCTCTGCACGATCCGTCCTTCTACGCTTCGATTCTGTGTCTTTCCGGGTCATTCGTGATGCGCGCTTCTACGTTTATTGTCCTCGGCGCAGCGGCGCTCCCTGCCTTATCTTTTCCAGTAAAGCATGTCTAAAGTTGACCTTTTAAAGTATTCAGCAATGCCAACACATTCAGCAGTGACCTTTACAGCCGGGACTATGACAATTTATATGCCCGTGATCTCGAGGCTAGGATGATGAAGGCGGTGGGTAACGCGGTGGGTAACGCGGCCAAGGTCTGCACAAACGCCGTCAATAGTTGCATAGAAGCGGGCCAGGAGGCCGCCTATGTGGCTCACTTGGCCGGCCAGGTCGCCGGGCCGCTATGGAAGGGTGCGCAGATGGCATTCAAGTGAGTAAACATGACTTCAACCTGTTTTGATTGGTTTGACACAGGCGAGTAGCCCTGACAACACTCCAGGGGTGCTGGGCATGGCGAAGACCGTGGTGAACGGCGCACGAGTGATGCATCTCGCGTCCGAGGATCGGTGGGACGAATTGCACCGGAAGTTCGGTCATGGGCCTACTTTCGATTTGGAGTGAGTGAATTTGATCAAAGCACCATAGTACAGTTTGGCCTGACGCAGGCATACAGTGGAGGAGAAAAGGCGCGTCAACATCCCAAGCGTGCGGCGGGACAGGACACTCTGCGGGCCCGTGCAGAAATACTGAGCCGGCTTCTAGCTCGTCAGTTACTCGAAGATGCTTATTTGGACTGAGTTTGGGTGTATCATCCCACGTCATGTATCATTGCAGATTGAAATACATTGCCTGTTGTGCTAGGAGTTCATCTGTATATGGCATAGCAAATACTGCATCTACGCTGATAGTGCGTGGTCGCATTATTGGGCAGGCTCCTACCCATCCGGAAAACGCTGAAAGACATACATACCTCTGAGATTAGGCACCAATTCAACGCAGTGCGAGCTGCGCCTCTCATATACTCGCATTATCTTCTTATTATCGATATCTGACTGATTCACTAGGGAAGTTCAAAGTTGACGCAGCTGGGCTCGCAGAAAGTCCTGCAGCGCAGATGTGGATTTAGGCGCTGAAGAAAATGTGAGCCAGATGCAAGAACGAGAAAAGATGCGTATGTCTCCTGCTTATCTAATGTCACACTCAGATATACGTTTGCGATTATCTATGAGCATGTTTTGGAGAACCCTAACTTCTTCTGCGTGACACGATGCCTAACCAACCGCTGCGTGATGGGTACATCCACTCATATGCGCTGTTTGCTGCCCTCTGAGAGTATTCACACCGCTTGGGAGTCTTGAGGCAATATATCAACAGCTTAACATCGACATCAAGGTAATTCGGGCAATCAGGACAACTCGATACTTGTGCGAACGTGAACGCATTTTACACCTCAGAAATCTACATCTGGTATGGGAGTACCAGAAAGATCAGACCCGTGGCTGTTTCGGCTAGCTGTCACAGAAATGATGTTCTCCGAGCCTAGGGCACAGCAACTGTCCACTATGGCATTCCAAGCATATCCCTGTTTCAACCTTGTATTTTGGTACATACGACTACTCCAACTGCTCCGTCATGCTCGAGCAACGAGAAGACAATATCGCACTATTGAGTGTCGAAAGAAGCCTTGGAGATTTTGCATCCGAAGAGGGAAACCATCCAACGAGGCGTAAGTGTTCACTGCGTAAAGTTCTGCTTTCTTCCTCTGAATATCCAGATAGCCTATGCTCAGTATCGACGCAACTGGCATGCCAGCCGTACGCACACCAACAGCGCCTTTCTGAAATGGGCGACGATCTTTCTTTGCATGATCATCCTCATCGATCTTGCGGTCTACTTGCATGTCTTTCGAATAATTCTTGGCTTAGTCGATGGTAGTATCGCCGAACTCGAGGCTGAGTATCGCAATCCATATGTTGGTCTAGCGGAGCTGTATGCATCGGGACGCGTCAATGCATTGCATTACGGTCCAATTACGAACGTTCCCCGCGTCGCTCAACAAGTGAGCCGTTCTGAACCACGCAAAGTTTTCCAAGAAGCTGTGCATCGGCGCTGGCTCGGTCAGTTTGGGACGGTGTCGCCCAACGATCGTCGGCTGCATGTCTCAAACGATGTGTGCATAAATTCTCTGTGTTCGATTATTACGCGTCATATCTTTTCTCATACAGCTACATACAATCCTCCAATTCAGAACTATGGATTATGGAATGGAACGTTGCCAGCTGGCCCTGCGCATCCCTTCCTCAATGGATCAGCAGGATTTTACGCTCAACGATTCGTCTGGCCGAGCACGGCTCGATGTTTGTATCCTCGACGCTACGGCTCCGCTCAACCCCCGCACGGTATCCTGGGCGAATCGCCCGCAATGTAGTGGAACTGCGAGGACATTGGTTGCCGGACCTGGTGAGGAGGCTAGATTGGCAGAGTTCCCTTGTCCCTGGGGTTCGTTGCATACGTATGAAGTTTCTTGTGCTGGTGATGCATCTCAATGCGAAATTGATGTCTGGGCAAACCGAAATGGAACATGGGGTATGTCGTTACAACTTATTCGCATTGGAGAAGCACTAAATTCGGTCAATTCTCAGGTATCTTCATGTATCAGCACCAGAGCATCTGAGTTTAGCTGATTTATCGTGAAATTTATCATGAGATGTCTTCGGAACCATATTCTACATGGTCACTCATAACTGTCAGGACCGACGGCGTCATCGGGTAGATAATTTATCGAAAGCTGACCATTGCTACGTCTATCCTCAGCTCAAAGACGAGGACATGCATGGAGATTGAGTGCTTCGGCACTGATGATGCAAATTTTGTTTGCCAGCGGTCTGGTGAACACATGCACGGTGATAACTGCGAGAGAAGTCGCTTCCCGCAATTTCAAGAGGGAAAAAGCATATAGGGCACTACACCCAGCAATTTGCTCTCAATTTGACTGGCGCATAAAGACCTACGTTCAATAACAACGGGTTTCTGAAATGGCCGTTGGAGAACTTCCACTATCTTCGACGCCACGAATGCCCTGACAAACTGTTGAACATACGTACTACTCGAGCACGCAATAACAAATGGTGAGCTCCTCTATTGGCCAATTGACGACAAAGGTACAGTGACAATCAACAATCGTTTCCGCTCATCTATGGGCATAAGGATCGTTTAGGCTGCGCTTCCAACTACGCTAACCGAGTTAGGCCGCCGTCGCAGCAGGGGCCCCTGCACTACTTATCTCATTCGCCAAGACTACTCCTCCAGCAGACTCTACGGTGCCCTCTATGGTGGTCTTTATACCGTCCACTATAGAGCCGGCGTGCTTTCTGCAAGTTGTGAATCAGCGGAAGAATCTGCAGAACAAGCATAACAGGAGATCTTACGACCACCAATCCTTGACTACAGAACCGGCGGCGTGGTCGAGGGCTGCATCAGTGGCCACAGCCTCCGTACCCTGCTGAGAAATGCTATAACACAAAGCAAATATATCAGTACGTCAGCAATAATCATCGAGCGAATTTTTCATACTGGTTCTGAATTTGCCGGCGACGACTGCGCCTATGTGGGCTAAGTTAGAGGGTAGAGGACACGTCTGAGGTGTCCTGCTAGATACTCACGGGGTCCCGGCGGATGCTTGTCTGTTGTAGAGGTTTTGTGCCGCATACTGGCGATCGGCACGAGCTAATAGGTCGTACAGTTGGTAATCGCGAGCGGATAGCGCATCAAATCCATCCCGGCGGTACAGAGCATAGCTACTGGATGCGACAAATGTTATTGAAAGTCAATTGCCATGCAAACTGACCACATACGAGGACGGGTAGGACATAACCGGCACGACAACTTGCATTGCGACGGCGGCGAGAGCAATGAGAACAGTAGAAGCGCGCATTGCGATCAAAGTTAGGATATTATGCAAACGAAAATGAAGGGAAGTAAATGCAGATCGTGCAAGTCGTCAAATGGGGGTGATCGAACGCAACGAAGGAGGCTAGGATCGAAAAATTGTTAGACTGAGATTTCCGCGATAGTTTGGAGGCACTCACCAACCAGTACCGACTTGTGAGCGTGAGCGAAAGAAAGAGGAGCTGGAACGTTCATTGAGTTCGTCCTCTTGCTTTATACCTACACGGTGCACATTTGTAAGGAGGAGCGTAAACGCCGGCGTTTCGGGCATTCCGCGCGGTGACACCGTTTCAAGTTGATTCAGGTCCAAGGTCCAAGGATCTACGGCGTTCTCTCCTTGATTCTCTCGACACATCATCGATACCGCTCTACTGGATGGATGAACGTTGAAGATCCATATCAGTGATGGGAACTTTATAGCTGAGAAAACTCACCGCACGGATGTCAGTGAACACACATCTGACAGTAGCGCCCGCCCTCTTTCACTGCTCTCATCTGTGCGCCCCTACGCGCGTCGTTCGGCGACTTAGTTCTCCATTCATGCTGTTCTCTATCAGTCAGTAGGAAGTATCGATAATCAAAAGACGGACTCATTGCGTACAATTTTCGCCAGCCGAGCGAACTCTTTGAGAAGCTTCTCACAAGACTCCGAAATGAACGCCACATTGTGGCGTTATCAAACAGACACACGACACAAAGGGATCAGACGGCCAATGCGCACACGCGACGGTGGCCAGTCGTCATGCTCAATAAAATGAAGAGGCTGAGATGCAACATGGATGTCAACGCCCTCAAGCCCTGCCTGCCGACACTCTTGCGTACTGCTTTGTATTCGCCATGTCTACCTCAAAATTTATCACGTCCGCCATACCCACTGTGCTGAGTGTGGCGCCATACCAGCCGAGGTCCTTTGCATTTTCGGGCGTGAAGCCGGCTGGCCTTCCAAAAGCCGCAAGGTCATTCCTAAATACCTCATACGACAACTTGAGGCCATGCTATCGGTCGTGTTGTGCCCGACTTCCTCTGACGGAAAGCTTCGTCTACGCCTTTTCCAGTTTGGAATTTGCGATTGTCCAAGAGCAGCGACAGCTACGATCCATTCTACGCGCCACAACAATGCTTCCAGAGGATCTCAGCGAGAGATATTTCCCATGTACGTGTCAGATGGGCAGGACATGCGAGGATGCGATCCAAAAACTGTTGCTCGAACGGGAGAGGCAGCTTGACGCATTCGTGGAAAAGTTCGACGCACTCGTGTGGCTCGGGACCGACCTTGACCCAGAGAAGCTAGACCCGAAGCACAGGTGGAGCGAGGTGCAAAAGCAAGACTTCCGCGACGAACTGCTGGTCCCGGTCATCGAGGCCATTAACTCTGGCCGCTCGCTTCTGGACAATAATCTGCTACGAGACGACTGGCCGACGGAACTGTCAGTAATACAGGCGTTGTACATGTCAATGCTCCAACATGCCACCAAAGACTGGCCAGAACGACGCAAGTACACCGAGGAGGAGGTACAGGCGCTGGTAAATCTGTATATTGAGCAAAACAGGCTGAATAGGAACTAAAGGGAACGGCGCCACGAGAACACGAAGGGGGAGAGGCGAAACAGTGTCATGGCCATTAGTTGGATGATACGCACCATTTAGTTCCATAATGTTGTTTCTTCATCCCCCAAACACTCTCTACACTCTAGAGACGATGACATTCTGCGGCGCAAGCGGAGCGTAAGGCTTTCTAGCACGCTTCGTCCGGTCTAAGATTGATCGTAGCAACGATATATCGTCGACATCAACTGAGTGTGTATGTGGCTCGTTACGTGTGTAACTCCCGAGGGCAATGATCATGAAATGAGATGGCATGCTGCGGCAAAGCACCAAAGAATCTGGTGCACAGTGGCTTAAGAATTGGAGCTGAGACAAAGGGGACGACAGGACAGCGCGCGCCAATTTCCGCATTTGGCAGGTTGATCGGCTTACCTGATCTCCCATCAATGTCCTACAATGAGCGCTTGGACGAGACAAGGGCGCGGGCGGCAGTGAACGCGGTCGCACCGACTCACTTTGTGCTCAGACTCTTCGACACGTACACACACACACCCTCCTATCTCGCAATTTGCGTCGCGTAGTGGGCCATCCTCAAGCTGCGAATTTTCCTCCGCTCTGATCGCCGGCGTACTTGCTTTGACCTCCCTCTTTGACAAAGCTGCTGTTGTGGCCCGTGGCGGTCTGTGCGAAGTTCAAGAGACCACTTCGGGCTTTGAATTGGGTTGCTTAAAATCGAGTCAATTCGTATCTTCATAGTTAGCTCCCACATCTCCTGAAAATTTACATCAACATCAAGACCACTCAAGATGATGCAACCCCCCGCGGATCAAGTCGACGACGCCATGGTCACCGACGCGCACGGCGACGACACACAGTCGACCCAGGCAACGCAGCAAGAGACGCAGCCGTCTTCGCAGCCTGATAACACCCTCGACGCGCACCTCTGGGGCTACCTCATCCCATGCAACTCTCATCTCCGCCGCATCGACTTCCAGAAGGTCAAGCCGCTATATAATGTTGGCCGCAACGCGGATCAAAGGCCAGGCGGAAACGATATCATTCTCCCAGGCAAGAAAATCAGTGAGTGGCGCGTCTCGTATCATGTCTGAGCGCGTCCGACGCGTCTACCTATTGTGGCGCAGGCAACTACCACTGCAAGATTGTATGGGATGGACAGGAAAATGTCAATGCAGCCGTCAAAGTCACGGATAACTCAAGTAACGGCACTTTTGTGGGTTCCTTCAAATCAATTCCGTTGGCGTGGCGTATGAATGATTTGACGTCTTCTAGATCAACAGCAACAAAATTGGTAAAGGCAGGACGATGCTCCTATATGACGGCAACGAGATCTCTTTCGGTCCTCCACACTACCGCAATGCAGATGGCTCCCTGGAAGACTTTCGTATGTGATGTTTGTTTGCTTCGGATCTGCTATTCTGATCATGCACAGGCTTTGTGTACAAACATATGGCCACGGGTGAGACCCTCACCGGGCTGCATGCTGCTTACCAGATGCATTACGAACTTGGAAAAGGTTCGTTTGCGACCGTCATGAAAGCCATGCATCGCGAGTCTGGCCAATGGTACGCCGTGAAGGTTCTGCAATACAACAAGCTACGCTCGGTGCAGGAGCGCGGGAACGCACAAAATGCCGTAATGCGAGAAATCAACATCTTGGAGAAATTGGAACACCCCAACATCTGTCATATGAAGGAGGTCTTCTTTGAGCCTAACACAATCAGTGCGTCTACCGCGTTGGTCAAAGAGAACCGATCACTGACTTGGCTCGTAGATCTTATACTGGAATACATTCCCGGAGGCGATCTCCTTGATTATATTATCCAGCGAGAGCGTCTCGGTAGGTTTAACTTTCAAATGCCTATATGGATATCACTAATTTACTGTGCAGATGAAGCGGAGACCCAGTATCTCTCGTACCAGATATGTGACGCTCTGGCGGTATGTAATTTTTACAACATCTTTGGCAAAACACTGCTAATGCCTGTCGTAGTATATTCACAGCAAGGATATCGCCCATCGTGATTTGAAGCCCGAAAACGTGCTGCTAACCGGCGATATACCGCCTCGCGTGAAAGTCGCTGATTTCGGGCTTGCGAAGGCCGTTGACCATATGACAGTTCTTCGCGTGAGTATATCCTAATAGAGCTATTTAGACGATAGCTGATATCCTTCTCATTAGACTATGTGCGGGACCCCCTGCTACTTGGCGCCTGAGGTGGTACTACAGAGCAACAATCAGGGGTATGAGAAAGTGGTGGACAGCTGGAGCACAGGCGTCATCATCTACTCTATGTATGTATTCTTGTCGTATATGTGGTTGTCGATCGACTTGTTGACCTTTCATCTTAGGCTGACAGGTAATAACGCTTTCATCGAGAACGAAGGCGAAGAATTGCACGACCGTGTTCGAAATCGCCGTGTCGATTGGCCGTGCTTACGACAGTATGCATCTGAAATGGGTACGTATGTTTGACACGCCTATGATAGCATTTAACTAAAAGTTGACCATTTACTCTGTAGCTGAGAGCTTCCTGCGACGTCTTCTAGAGTACGAAGCTACGAACCGTATGACCCCCGCGGCTGCGCGCGAACATCCATGGCTTGCGGAGGAATATGCTAAGGCGCCCCCCGAGGTCTACCGCGACCGTACCGAGTCTCCAGAACCTGAGCCTGCGCGTCAAGATGCGTCTATGGCCTCATTGCAGCCGGAAGATGTTGTGATGGATGCGGATGCGGCGCACGGCGATGCCCGCATGGATGAAGAACCCACCGACAATATCACAGCGTCGCAGTCTGTCCAGATTCCGGGTGCATACCCGCAGAGCCAGCAGCCCGGAAACTCAGGGCTCAAACGCGAGGCCTCGAAGCTGCAGCGACGCGCGGATGTCATTCTCGAGAAACAGTTGGAACAGGAGGAAGTTGTGGACAGCGACTCCGAGCCGCAGCAAGCTGACCAGGAGAACCTGAAGCGCAAGGCGTTCGACTTTGAAGGTTCCCTGACCCCGATGCGCGAGGCCGACTCGGAAGAGGAAGACGAGGTGCCTCCCTTGGACGCTGTGCCAGTTCATCGTACCCGCAGAGGTCGCCCGGCTTCTATCAATGGCGAAGGGCCTGCCGCTCGAGCAAAAAGAATCAAAGGCAAACAGCTGGCGGAGCCACCTGCGACGCCCCAGGGGGTCCGGAGGTCGACTCGTCTTCACAACAATGCCCCTACCCCGAAGGTGGCACGGAAGTGAAGTATGTGCAATGTTATCTCATATCTCCTTTGAGTATTGTCACTCGTTTCCCTGTGGATTCTTTATCATTGTCACTCGTTCACCTGCGTCTCTTCATCCTCGCTGGCATAGATCTTTTCATTGGCCTTACGTCTACCATCTAGTTTGTATGCTGTACATTTAGAGGTTGTTGCATGTCATACCATGTGTATATTGCTTGAATACATTGTTCACAAATGGAGTTGATTTGGAAGGATTACAGTCGGATGGATGCTAGCTACAGAAGCAGAAGATCTTCATTATTGTAAACTAAGAGGTCGATTATGGCGATAGTAAGCGGAGCAATCGTGCATGTATACAAGCCTGAAGATAATACGGAGCAGGCAGTATGGTAAGAGAGCACTTGCAACAACAATACGGGAAAATGATACAAGAAAGCATGCGCCATACCGCGTTCACATTTTGGGCGACTTTCGGCCTCCTTACGTCTTTTACATTTGCACCTTTCTAGCGCAATCGATCAGCGACTCCATCCAAAAATACGACTATGTCCAACCATTCGGGACCACATGTAGACATTGATAATGTCTCAAGATGATCGTTGTTAGAGACTCGTACTTTACCGATACGACTACTTACTCCATGAGAATGATTATTGAGAGCTCGGTCCGGCTGATCGAGGATCGCCGCGGAGACGGTGGCGGAGGAAACACGGTCACGTGTACCTCGCGTTCAAGTTGAGCAGCGTCGGGTCACACTTCACCCTCAGATCGCATTCTATCCTTGTTACTCTAGTTCGCTTTCCACCTCAGAATTTGTTGAAATGCTGAGTGCGCGCCCAATTGCGCTGAACGCTGATACTCGGACCCCCGGAAGGGCTCTAAAGGGCCGCAGTACTCTCCAAGAGAATGTGTACCGAGGATCCATGACAATCAGTGTCAAAGGGAAGGGCGCACTGACTCCTCATCGCCCTCTTGCCTCTCGTGCGCTGCCTCCTTCATACGTGCGCTCGCCCTATAGCTAACATTGAAGGCAGGGCCTCATAAAACTTCCAAAGATCAAGGCCAGCCCACAGTATCCCGACCACTTGGGGATAAAACTCCCTTCCCAAATAGAGTAGCGAATTTAGTACCGTTCTGTCCTCCAGAACCCCTGACTGGAAAACTGGCCAAGCTCTCCCTGCTCGATGCCCCACCCACTCTAGCTACTATAACTCCCGGTGCCCTCTTGCGTCCGTCTTCAGCTAGAAAAAGTCTCCGATCACCTAGGCTCAGCGATTCTGGTGGGAGGGCATTCGAGCTCAGGACGCCAGTTACTCAAGGCAATCACTGGGATGTCAGTGACGGTGATGTTGATCTTGGACAGCATGTAAGCGTTGAGGAGACCGAAGCTGTCCAGGAAGAAGACTACGATGAAATTGAATATATGCCGCCTGCCGCGACTTGTATGTTTTTTGATGCTCTCTTCTCTCATACTGATTGAATGCGATGTGAATAGTTCCACCATATGAACCCCCATTCGAGATGCCGAACTACAAAATCGCCGGGAGAGCCCTGTTGGAACTGGCTCATTCAGCTAAATTCGACGATACGGCAGACCTATATTGTGCACAGGATATTGAAGTCGACATTGACCCCCGTGAGGTTTGGAACATGAGTGGCTTTGTGGCTTCACCATTAGATTGGGAGAGAGTGGAGCTACCTGAGCTCGGTGCGTAATCGATTAATCAGGTTTTGTGTAACAGTGCGCTCAATTCGTTGAAGAGAATGATAGCCCTTTGCCGCGGAAAGCAACATCAACCAACTCAGCTGCCAAATTGTGCAAGCCTCAGGCTCGCACGCATGTATCAAGCTCTACAGCCGCTCATCGACCCACAGCTGCTGCACGATCTGTTCCTTCTGTGCGTTTGCAAGGTACTTCCCAACCAATCCAAATGTCTACCAGGTCCACCGGTAATTCAGCGTCTGGCTTCACTACACGGCAAGCGGCACGTTCCTCGACGAACGCCTCTTCTAACGGTGGAAACGGCGCGAAACAGTCTGCACCCTCCACGAGATCGAGTGCTCGATCTACCGCATCTACCAATGTACGGTCAACCACAGCTTCAGGGACCCGCGGAGCGGGCACTACAAAGCCTGTCCAGTCTCTTGTACATGCTCGATTGTCGGCGAACGCGATTACTCCCGCAACTAGGGCGGCTACGGCAAGGAAGGCAAATGTAACCGTTAGCTCCGTCCCTCCTGCCGCTTCGACCTCGGTCGTGGGACGCAGAACTCCAGTAGTCGTGGGCTCGACGATACGGAATACTAAAACTGTGCGCTCTGCGTCAGTCGAGACGACACGATCGCGCCCCGTCCCCAAAGCCAAAACATCAGGACCAAGTGTCAACGCGTTGAGCATGGCTGCTTTGGAGGAAACTGAACCCTTGGATGGCGGACTTGTGATAATGTTTGACGATATATGTTCTGATGGATTTGAAGAGGATTTCGTGTTCAACATATAGATGGATGGTATCCTACTCCTACTTGATTTGTTTATATCGATGTACTATGGGATTATGTTGACGTTGAACTAGTGTTGCCTCAGGTCCCCATCTGCTGAGGTGCTGCTTCAGATGATATGTCAACTACCCAGTGCGCTGTCTCGCGCCGGGACAATGTCATGTACTACTCGTAAGGTGACTTTAAATCTTCATCGAAGCAAGTAAGCAGCGTGTCTCGTGTTTAATTTTCTCTCTTCTGAAGCCTGTCTGCCTTCGCACTACTTTACCTCAAACCAGTTTTATAGCAATCAACTTCTACTGGCTTGAACATTTCCTCGTGAGTGGTTAGTCTTCATTCAAAGGCCTTCTGTGTTGATCTACAACTGTTAGTCAGAGAGCTTGAAGCTGCAAGACAATTCACCAACACGATCCATCGACAATTACTCGACATCAATTACGATATTCTTCACGAGATTCTTCCCCAAAGGGACGCACTGAGGCTATCGACAATTGCTCGTAGAATATCCATTGTTGCTGTCATCGAGATCCACCGGGCGGAAAAGTTCTCGAGAATTGTCCGAAATTTACTGGATGACATCCCAAACCGATTGAATTGGGTTCGCGATCTAACAATGTATGGACGGGCCGTCATCTCAGCTTATACCAATTCCAACGGCGATGGTTTTTCTAGCGGACTCTTGCTCGAAGCCGCTGCAAATTTGATCGTGCTGGAGCTCCGACGTGGGAGATTTAATGATGTGGTTGAAACTGTGCGAGCCGACGCAGGGAATGTTACATTCTTCGTTCACTCCAGGCACTAACGATCCGCGCGCGCTAAGGCTGAAATTTCTGTCACGCCCTGGGCCTGATATATCAAGCACTCGGCGTTTTCCCACTTCCTCAATTTCTCTGCATACATGGGATCAGTATGATACAATGGGACCACAATGGCGGCCTCTTCTTTGCGCACTCTCGCCTTGTTCGACTATAGGCTCCCCATGACAATGATCCCTCAACAATTTCCGAATGCAGCTGATCTGCGACTAACTTCTCTGACTCCAATGGAGATGTATCCTCTCGCAGAAGACCAACGACCGACCTGTGCGCCATGGCATCCCATTGGAAATTTTCGCCGGGGCACTTGAAGCTATCGAGAATTGACTGCCGATGGGTCCTGGATCAGGTTTGCGGAGACACAACAGATTTCGACGAGTGGAATTTTAGATGTCCCGAGCGTTGGCCAAAAATAATTATATTCCTTTCGCACCCGGCGGCCTATATTGCGCTGCGTGTGTTAGAACAGGTGTCTCCGATCGCTCTTACCATCACAATTCCAGCGAGGAGTCTCAGTGCTTTCTGGATGAGCTTGGCGCAAATTGCTCCAAGATTGAAACTTCCTGGATTACATCTTGACTACTAAGACTGAAAGAGACTACTTTGATAAGGAGGTGGGTACTACAGTGATATTGGGCGTACCTTTCATATCTAATATTATATTCCGTAAGATGCAACCAGGACAATTCCTAGGTCGCTCTTGTCGCTACACCTTATCACATTGCGCATTGCTTTTGTTGATTCTTGACATATTTACGCACGATATGGACGAAGGGCGAATATTGCTTCCCAACCACTGGTACAGTGTTTCGGTGGTCCTTGGGACACCAGTTCGCATGTTTCGTTTTGTGCGTCCCACACTTCGAAATTACAACAGATTTATATACAGGGATTTTGTGAAGTGCCTTCAAGTCCTCTGTGAATTTTATTGGAATAAAATCTGCAATGTACTCTCCAACAGAATTCAATTTGTTGCCTGTACTCATTTTCAGATGATTTGGGTTCCTTGGGACAGCGTGACGCAGTGTGACACCCCCCGTGGCCCGCTGCGATCGAGCGCGGTCGCTACTCTAATTCACCGCCACCCCCATCGCATGTGATGTGTACGCCCTCGCGCGCGATGTCACGCATTCATTTCATTCTCCTAGATCGCGCAATTCTACACCAAATGCCACGGTTTATTGGGTGAAGCTGAATCCAAATAGGCTAGCTACGTGGTCTTCATAAATTCAGAATTTATTCTCTCGCAGAGTCTGTGAAATCCCTCAAAGTAGGTAGAATTGGGTATATATCATGTTCTCAAAACCTCAGTTAATGGCCGTTCAGCCCCAAGTTTTTAACACGTAGTCTAATAGAGTACAAATAAAATACCAGGTGATCGATTATATTCATCACCTTAGTCAAGAGGAAAAGCGAGTGTCTCAAGGAACACGGGTGTCCCAAGGACCACCGAAACACTGTATTCAATTTTGAATCATGAGCCGCGAAATCGAGTCTACTAATGATTACATCGACTCGCCAGTAGCGAGCCATGCTGGCTGTACTGGTGCCTTCGGTCTTTTAAAAAGTTGAACAAAAACCATGTTGAATGCGAGGAAGAAAGATGTCGATTTGAACGGCTACGGAAATGTAATGCTTGTGACTTATCTATGTGCATGAGCAGTGCTAGTGAGCCCTTGAGCTCGTCCGCTTGCTTGCCGCGAAATTTTGACCCTAGTAAAAAACACTGAGCGAATGCATATGTTAGTACAAACGCGCCTTGAATGCACTCCCTGGCCGTACATACGACGTCCCGGGTGGTCACTTTACAAATTGCGGAGGGGCATATTCGAATCATTGGTAACGATGACACCCACGCGTGAGTGGAGCACTGGTGGAGCAGGCGCGACCCGAGGCGGCCATGCAACCAGCGTGCAACTTGAAACCTACAGTACAGTCCTCAACAGGCCATCGCGTTTGTCCTCTATTCCTTCGCCATGCCTGCCAAATATTCCATCACCCGCCATCCCCGCTATACCGCGCTCCTTGCAGTCGTGCTGATCGCGACCGTCTTCGTCTTTTCGCAAGGTTCAAGCAACGTCGAGAGCTACTTCAGCAGAGGCGACAGTCTCAAATGGCGGATTATCGAGGAGGACGAGCGATACGACAAGCTGCTCATAGACCGAGAAGCGATGGTCCGCAAATGGGGGCCCACGCCTGCCCTAGTTGAGGCGTGCGTATTCATCCGTGCCTCAATGCCTGGCGTCTGATTTGACATCGCCAGCTTCCCTCCTCGCGACGACTTTTACACTCTTTGTGAGTTTCAAACCTTGTGGTCATGTCTACAAACACTATCCTTACAGTCCATACGCAGGGGATTTCTTCATTCCTGCGTTCCAATGCCCGCACCGTGTTGAGCGCGTCGGCGTCCTTGGTGACGGAGGCAAGTGGGTGTGCGGGCTGGATCGCATTGCTCGCCAGAAAGAATGTGTCATATACTCGTTTGGCGTGAACAACGAGTCCTCCTTCGAGGCGGAGCTCCTTCGCCGTGCTCCTGGATGCCAGGTGTGGGGGTACGACTTCAGCGTACCGTCGTTTGGACCCGAAATCACCGCCGTCCCAGCACTGCGTGATCGCTCGCACTTCCATGCCTGGGCACTTGGTGAGGTCGATAACCACGGTCCGGGAGTGTACCCGCCGACATATTCGTTGTCGACCCTCATGGCGCTCAACGGCCACCAATTCATTGATATTTTGAAGGTGCGTCTGTAGTTATAAACATGTACCCGGTCCACATACCGTAGAAGATTGGACGCAACATATCTGAAGCTCCCATTAATGGTCCTCTGCGATTATCAGTAGCGGCGGCGTAGACGAGCAGCATGGCTAATACATATTCTCAGGTGGACATTGAAGGCGCGGAGTTCACCGCCCTGTCATCTTTCCTCTCTGTCCAGACAGCCATGCAAGGCACAGAGCCCCATAATCCTCACGCACCACCCTCATCGCCGAATAACGCGGCGCATCCTGCTGCGCCTCTCCCTATCGGGCAGATGCAAATTGAGATCCATGCGCGATCCGACACGGGGTACAGCACTTTCGCTCCATTCAAGTCATGGTGGGAGTCACTCGAGCGTGCCGGATTGCGTCCGTTCTTCACTGAGCCGAATTTGGTGTATGTCAATCTGATTCGTGGCGCAAGGCCGGACCTGGCAGAGGTGCGTTGCTCGGTCTATCATGGTTCAGGCCATGAGGCTCACGATTATCCCCTAGTATTCGTTTATGAACATTCGCGGCCACCACGCGCTCGTTTCAGACGACTACCTCTAGTGTGCAATCCTGTCTGATCCTGTCAGCATTCATCTACACTACTATATCGCACTACCAAGTATATACCACCTATTTTTGGACTCTTATGAGCGTAGTGGATTTGCGTTGGACTTCTACTGTATAGTTATCATGCGATGTTGATCATCGATTTTTGCTGACGCATCTGCCGGTCTTCACTGACATTCATTTCGGACTATTGCGACTTATGTGTATCTGCTCTACCATGCTTATGTTCGTGCAACTGTAATTTATTGGCAAAAAATGTCGGCGGTTGTCGCAGCATAGATCCGAGGACCCAACTGGCCTTGTCTACCTACGTGTCCTAGGTTCGAAAAAGCCGCGAGGAGAACCATTAGGAATTCTACCCAGCGTAACGAGAGCAGAGACTAGGGCAATTTTTTGAGATAGAAATGGGGGGCTCGCAGCTTCTGGCGAACAGGTGCGACAGCAGTTTGATAGAGGGCGTGGATGGATGCACCGCTACTCCCAGTGCGAAACACAGAACCAGCTATCTGCCTTCTACGCTGGAATCTCAACTGGGTGTGGTTCGCTAATCGATTGACACGATCCGCCTTTCTCCACATCGGGCATCGCATCCATAGTGACGGCCGTGGTGAACGGATTCATGGTCCTTGAAGTATCGCCCATACTATCGATCGTGGTCTTGGTCCATGCCCGCTGAGTAACGATCCGCAGTACGATCAGCTGAGGAGCCAGACCCTGTCGAAAATGCCCCAGATAGGCTAGGTGTACAGCACGAAGAAACAAAAACAACACATACGGCAACTTTTGCCCATACTTCTCCAAACGCTATCGCGACCTCGGCGTTCCGCGCGTACGGCACGACGAACATGATTCCGAATAGGCTGTACGGAGCGGCGCTTTCGACCAAAATGGCGATAACGCTCGTGTAGATGCGCGCGCTCTGCTCGCCCAACGCGTTCCTGATCCTCCTGGAGAGGTACAAGAGCCGGCCGCAGATGAGGATTGTCAGGATGATGTTTAGCGCGATAGACATCGCATAGTAAGGTACACCAAAATCGACAGATTTTCCTGCAAAAAAGTCGCCGCTGGATATCCCCGACGAGATGAGCTCACATATCGCGAGCGCTTTATCATGCACACATGAACTTCTCCTATGGAAAAAGAAAGCGGAAGGAGACTTACAGAACGCGCCGAGGTATATCAGAATTGGAAGAACAACGATGTATATCCTCGAGCCCCAAAAGATGAAGCAGCGATAAATCTGTGGGAATGGCAGTGAGTTTGTGTTGTCCCGAGATGTCAACGGACTCGCCATTAGTGCATCATTCATGAAAATCAGTATGACAACTGACGTCGATGACAATGTCTGGTACCAAACCGCGCTGTGCGTAGCGATGAAAGCAGCTGCTCCGCCAGACCGCATGCTAGACGTGATTAACATGTTCTCGACATATACGGCATTTGTCGAGACATCGATGGTGACCAGCATGAGCAAAGCGGTACTGTACATCATGTAGAAGTAGTCACTCTTTCGCCGCTGCGGCTTTCTCCAGAGGGCCTTCATTGTCGCGTAGCACGCGATGAGCTCCATGCCTGGGCGGCGAGAACCTTAAGCTAACGTCCACCGACTCGGTCCTGCGGACTCAGGTACACACCATAGAGAATGCCACCAAGGTAACTCCCAATGTAGAAAGCGTGTTCAAAGACTGCCACTGACATCTAGAGGCCTACTATCCTGCTGTCCAAATGGTCAAAGCGTAGTTAGATGCACTTTTGTTGACGGGACCGGCGTAAGATGGGGAAGAGGGATGTGTAGCATCCACGTCACGGACGCGCAGCGAGAAGTAGAAGTGCATGCCACGCTGTCGGTGCGTTAAAGGAGTTTATCCATGGTCCAAGATGCAGGATGTCCACAGGCCGGTCCGCGTTTAGACGACGACGCCGGCATCACCGAGCGGTCAATGGGACGGAGAAGATCGTGTTGGAACGACCGCAATCTTGAGCATCTGCGCATCAGCCCCATCTTGAACATGATACATCATAGGCCACAAGAGCTCCTTCAGTCCCTATACAATGTCCTAGCAGCGATAATGTCATGAAATCACATCTGCTTGAAGAGGCCAGAAATCATAGGTGAAACCTGAAAGAGATGAGATGATCGAATGTAGGAGGCGTCAGGTCTCCGGTGAAGATTGAGTAAACCACTTCCGATGGGAGGGAAAAGGAATGGCGCCTTGTTGTGATGGAATCAAGAACGCTGATGAACATTGTCTACCATATGCCGCCCGTCGAGTCACGAGGCATATGCGCACGCCCTTGATAAGTTCAAGTTCAGTCGTACCTGCATGTTCGGCTTAGGCACCGACTGTAGACAGTGCGCTTGCGATCTACAAGGATTTGGTGCCTTGATGGGATTTTTCCAGCGCTCACGTATAAAGCAGAGAGTCGGCAGTCCGGGTGCCCAACGGCTCACATACAAGTTTTGAAATTTCCAAATCCTATCTCGCATCATGCCTAGTGGCGAGCGCACATCAGCATGCGACTTCACGCCGACGTCGGTAGAGCAATGAAACACCTATCGCAGCACTATTTGGATTGATGGATATTTTGAGTGGCGATGAACGTCCTTGCCACGACCACAATCCGGGCACCACAATCTATCATCGGGGTTACCGCTACCCGGACATATGCTTAAGCAGTCACTGAAGGGCATTGCGTCTCGCAGTCAAGACCTCAGGATTTGAGATATGGATCCCATGGAAGCGATACTCATGGCTTCGAGCCCCTCCGCTTCCCGTCCGCAGGCATACGTGTTCAGTCTGTGCCTGGCCCTCGCAGGACTGACGGTTCTTGTGAAGATATGCACTGTATTCTGGCTCAGCCTCCTTGCGTTAGACAGTCAGATGCATTATAGTACGTACCATTTCATAACATATCTCACAAGGCACGATGAACTATAATCAGAATAGGCTATGTCGGAAAAGACCATCCGGAGAGATGGCCACTTGAGATTCCAGGTGTCCTGATGGCTTCAGATAGCTCGCGCCACTATGGGCTCAACACACCCGACAGCGACGGGGAGTGGTCATCCATGATCCCGGGCTCTGGACTCATCTATCTTGGTCCCCATCGGCAGCCATTCACCATTTCGATGCTGCACCAATTGCGCTGTCTTGACATAGTCCGGCAGGCTATGCTGCACAGCCGCCACAATCCCGTGGAGAGTACAGCTGGACTTGAGAGACACTGCCTCAACTATATTAAGCAAATGGTGCTCTGTCGTGGTGACTTACAACTCGAGCCATTCCTGGCGCCCTCTCATATTCAACCTATCGACCTTTTCGCCACGTACGAATGCAAGGACTGGGGTGCGGTCTATGAACAAGTGTGGAAGAATCAGCACGATTTTGCCCAATGGTCGCTATCTAACGAATCAAAAATGTACAACTGACACCCAAATATTGACACACTTAGGTAGGGAACAAGTTCCTGAGTGCACGTGTCATATCATTCTGATTGTCGGTAAATATTCAAGCTAATAGACACTCACATGTGAGGGGGATACAAGACCTTTTGAAGTGATCAAGGAGTGAATGCTACAATGTGGGCATGAGAGTTGGGAGAGCCCATGGACGACATGTGAACATATCAATGCCATCGTATAGATACACTTATGTTGAGTCTCGCTTTGCGATCCAAAGGGCAACTACATAGATTGTTTACTGCACTCCGAAAAGCAGAGATCAAATCGGTCGGGCCATCATCGAATACTGAGAGAATCGCAACAGTCGAGGTGAGGCGTTGCAACTTACGAGCGGATACCAGACTTGTACTTGGTGTTGCGCGCCATCGATGGAGAACCTGTTTTCGTTGTAGACGTGACAAGATAAATGCGCTGCCCACAGAGTCGAATACATCAAACCAATTGGTAGGATCACTGAGATCGCTACGCACCTGGACTATCCGGTTAGCTATTGAGGACAAATCTGACAGTGAACAGTGGGTAAACGAAGCTGAAACGTTTACTGGTGGACATGGTAGCCCTGTCCGACTTGTGACATGAGTGATGGTCTAAGTTCGAAACACTTTCATTCATTGACATACGTTAGGCAAGCCATACTCCGGAGAACGAGTGGTCCGCGCATACCTGTCGTTTTTTTGAAGGTGGGTGTAGCTCCACAATAAATACAAGCTGCTTAGAGACACACCAGCACCGACTCCGTGAATCACCAGTTCGACCGCTCCACATCCGCCTTGCCTCAGACAATATGTTCTTGCTCCGCTCTTCAACCGCCGCCGTTCTGCTGGGTGCTCTTTTTGCACTTGCCATACCAATTATACCGCAGCCTCATGATTCAGTCTATCTGGCACCACAGCGGCGGGGTGAGGGGGATTGTATCTCCATAGTATACATAGGAGATCTGACATGACTGTAGACTTGCATGCATCTCCTGACGATGCTGAGTATCTTGGTCCGTGAGGCATATGGGAATAACCTTCATAATTCGAGTATAATTCAATACTCATTGACATGGTATGTGACTTTATGTCGTCGTGTATACTCTGATCCTAAGCTTGACCACCAGGGAAATGTAGGATATAGGTGCAACCGTAAATTGCGGTGGAGAGATACATAGGTCGAGATGTATCTTGATTTTGGTTTTCGCACCTTTTAAGGCCAGATCAGTATACATGTTGTCATACTTGCGCGCAGCTACAGAAATGTCGCACTGACTAGTATGAGGCTGAGAGTGGGAAAGATGGTAGACGAGAACAATCACATAAGTTTATAGGCAGTTCGGCGCCCATTCCAGAAGTGCTTAACATTGCTCTATAGCTCAAGCAATAGGTAGCTTGAGCAAGGAGTCGGAAGGTCGAGACATCGCAATGTAAGTCTGACTCAAAATGATCAAGGACATGATCATGGGATTACCTATCATTACGCGCTCGGTTAAAAGCTTCGTGACCAATTATAGGACTGACCACCTCGACATCGCCCTGGTGACTTTGTGCGTGTGTTACCACTGGCCTTAAGCTTTACTTGCGAGCTCTGGTGTTGAAGTCTAGCACCTTTCTCTGTTCTTACCAACCGGGACCTATTACTGGACCGAGGAACCGCAATAATGGCGATAATGTGGCTCCCTAATGGCTGTACAACACAGCGATACTGGAAGAGGCTGTTGTTCGTCCTTCCATTTTGGACGGATAAGGTCAGCATAAAGGTGTACAAGCTTATGTTACCAGAGGCAGATTGGTTGAGAGGACAAGTGCTGTGAGCGTCGTCTAGCATTGTCTCGTATTTTCTGTCAAGCGCCAAGGGCGATTCGCGGTCGTCCTCCCAATCTGCCCGACAGACACCTACCCCAAACGGAAACTTTCTGAGCCGTGCATATAGTATACTGAGGCGATACCAGTGCACTTCACATGTTCAGACAGTGCCCCCATGTGCATCCCTCTTGACTGCACCTGCCTCTCCGGGGTGGCTGGGCAGTCTCTCCTTGCCCAGACTACCCCCCATGGCTACTTCTAGCAAGCGCGGCATCTTGCACAGCACCGCCGCTCATCGTCTCCTGCCTTTTATATCCTGAATATGAGTGTTATGCTATGTGGCGTATGCGACCTTGCCGCTCCCATAAAACCGAGCGACCTCATCTTCCTCCATTCTACTCTGTTCTTCTCATTTGTCCACTATGCCATCTCCTCTCGTTGCGCACGCAATCCACGAGATCCTTACTACCGTGGAGAGTTCGTTCAATACTGCGTCCGTTTTCATCTCGAGCCAGACCAAGACTCGCAGGGCACGCATGCTGGTGACTGAAGCCCTTAATATTTTGGACCTTTTGCGGGATGACATGAATGAGCACGACATGAAAGAATACAATTTCTTGCACAGTCGGTGCGTCTTGTCCACATGTTCTTTCAGGTTCAGTGCTCATTTTCACGATACCCAGCGCTGACAATGCCGTTAACTATGGTGGAACTCACTATTTCGACGCTGCCGAGGCGCTATGGGACTTTGCTTTAGTATGTCTGTCTTCTTCTGCCTCCTCTTAGTGACTGATCGTCTGCCTCGTAGCGGACGTTCCAGGAAGTAGACCATCGAGAAATTATCGCCGCTGACCGGGCACGTCGAGAGCGGAGAGCGAATTCTCCTCCGCCATCTCCTCCGGTTCCCAATTCGACTACTCTAGTACAGAACGTCAAATATTTTCCGGCTATTCAGTATACCCCGGCCTGGATTCCGATCCAGCATGTTTGTTGGAGTCCCGGATATGGTGCGTTGAGGTCTGGATATGGTCTCAGACGTCCACAACTGATGCTGTCTGATCTTGCAGCTGCTATTCCCGTGTGGCGGTAGTTGACATGGCGTGAAACGGATTCCCTTTATCATTCGAATTCCCTAGTTCTGCTTGACGAAACGCGACGATTTTACGCTTTCTCTGAAGGATTTGTATCTTTATCAGTTTTCCTTAACGTTTATCATCACGCAATGTACTTGTAGTTGCTCACGACAAATAATCATGATCATATACCCAACTATACTATCAAGAACTTAGCCCTTAAGGTACTGATACTGTGAGGTACTGATGCTATGAAAGTACAGAACCGTCTCGTCGAAGAGGAAGATATTCAGGAGATTGTCGCAAACGGCCGGCCGAAAACGAATCCGAAGAATTCGATCCTGCCCGAGACGATCAAGCCACACTGCCCCACTTACTTGAAGTAAATGAGCAATTCACTAAACATCTCACTCGCTAGTGGTATTTACACATAACACCATGAGTATATACCACGTAAAGATATACAAATTGAAACGCGTCCTTGACACAGTTGAAATAATTCGAAGAGGTGGGAACTGGAATGGTAAGGGCACAAAAGCCTATAGAAATCTCCGGAACTTACGAGGAACACCTTTCCTACTGATTCTTCATCAAAGGCGAAATCTGCGGCAATCCCGGGTAGAACATAGTCGGAATTGTCCTACGCACGACATTCAGTCTCAAAAAATCCACAATGCACGGAAAACTACTTACGGTGTCGGAATTGGTGCGGTGCTGCCAAATCCCGTGGTCAGGTCTCCAGTCATAGTGGTAGGCGTCGTATACCCAGTTGGTTGGGTGTAAGATGTCGTCTGCACTGCATAGCTTGTGTATTCGGTGCCGGATTCTAGGCATGCGCCACTGCCATATGCCGATTCGCATTTCCACGTCGCCTCGTCCGTTAACGACCACATGTAGACGTCCTCTAAGTATATATCATAGCACGGTGCGGTATCAGCGCACAGGATCTGGATGGGGGAGCGTTCAACTCCATCGGCTACGTTGCCATCCCAATTCTACGTCCAGCGTTAGTAGGCAGTTTCTTCGGAACGAATGACTGTTACCTTAAATGTGATGTTATACAACGTCACACCATCTCCCGCGAGTGTAGACATAGAAGCCCAATATTCATTGACATCGAGGCCGTAGGCGGTATCACGAGAAAGGAAGTTCTGGAAGATCACATTGGTGACGGTCCCAGAACCACCGTTGCCTTTGATCATGTATGCCTGATTTCCACCTACTGTGTAGACATACCTTACAAGTGAACGAAACGCATAAGAGAAAGAAGTAAGGTATTTTTTTGGATCGACATACTGATAGAGTATATTCTCGATGCTCGTGTTTATTGCCAAGCTACCCATAGCACTTCCCCCTGACTGATTGCACCAAACTTGTAGGACGTGTGAGGAATCACGCAGACGTTAGTGTGATAGAAATTGATACGCACTACGTTCAACCAAAATATTGGACGCGGGTGACTAATGGGCAGGAAATATCACAAACAGTCGTATGTGGGATTGAAGATAGCTCACTTTCACGGTGACACATTCATCGCGATTAGTCACTTCAACATCGTGGATCCAGTAGTTGTCTCCCCAAACATCGACACCGTCAGAGCCACCAATATCAGCACCCCTACCGCGAGTACATCAGTATGACCTGAATACGATATCAATAGATGATGACCCACCGAATAGCTAGATTATAGACTTCTCCTCCGGAGCCGTCTTGAACGACAAGATGGAATTCAGGAGCTGTGAAGAGACTATTGATGACTGCTCATTATAACAGAATACCCTACGAGTTTCTTACAGTCCACCAAAATGAGATCATGCAAAGACCAGCGAGTTGACGTGACCATGCGAATCAAGCGAGGACTGGCCACCACGATTATCAGGAAAAGCCAAGGCAAAGTGCTAGCATGAACACGGCTTACCCGTCATTGCGACATTGATATCCGGCACCTTGAATTCCACCAGCTGAGTTTGCAGAATAAAACTCAAAGTCGTTCGCGTTCTCAACGACGATCATGTTCCCAGTCGTCGTGGCTGAATGCAACCGATGTGAGGTTCTGTTACACGCTCACATATTCCACATACAGGTGCGTGTGATGAGGCCATCAAGCCTGAAAGCCCATTTCGTCCCACCGCTGAGGGTAACCCACGTCTGCATGTCGTAATCACCTGGCGGAAAATATATTGGTTTCAGCCAGATGGATTGCAATACCAAACACACCATCGGGAACATAGAGAGTCGATGCACTGGAGTTGGTCAACACACAATTCTATTGACCAAACCTGTATCAGCACAGTCAACCCGACGGTGAATGGAAGACTCACGTTATATGCAGATTGAATAGCAGGTCCTATATCGCTCGAACCGATTTCTCCTCCAAAATCAAGAACATTACATATATTTGACTTTTCCGACAGTGGTGTGATTGGTCCGACCGGACCAGAAAGCTGAGCGGCCACAAAGGAAAGCAGTGAAAACAAAATGATAGCAGAGAACATTGGGGTAGTTGCACCTTCGCTGTATGATTCGTGCCATGATCTTCGTCCTTATATTCCGTATCCACTGACCCCGCCACCAGTACACACGACCGAGAAAGACAGTGATCACACTATGACGCGGTCCGCGAACATCACGATAGACATGCGCAACAAAGCTTGGCACGCGTTCAGCCGACCTACCTCAAATGATGTTTGTTCACTCACAAAGGCTTCACAAACATGGCCGCAAGACCAGTGACCTGTTCAAGCGGTCCGGGAACAAGTGGGAAAGTAAGCAGAACGAAACGCACGAGGTCAAAAGTCAAATTCTTGAGAGAAGAAAGCGTGGAGGGACGGCGTCACTGCCAACACACATTGACGAGAACGACACGACCGGCCCGCACAAATGCACTTCCAGGCAACGTAAGTATATAGAACGCTAACATGTGTCTTGTGTAGGGAAAGGCGTCCATTGTCCAAGGATGTGCCTGATCAAACCTCGGTGCTACGACGGTGTCCAGAGCCGGTTTGACTGAAGTGATGGCACCGAGCGTGCCTGATGCTGAGGAATGAGAGGCGCGGAAGGCCATAAAGGTGAGTATCGATCACAAGCTCAAAATAGCTCGGCTCGTATGGCCCTGCAGGCTGCCAGTGGAGATACTCTGCGCCTGTCGTCCCGCCACACTGTAGTCGCATGCACTCCGAGCCGTTGGAATTCAAACATTCATCGACACCCTATGTACAATCACGCCGGGCTATTATATAGCCACTGCGTCTGTCACTAATTTGTTCACCAACATCTCTCTATATGGTATGTCATTGGCTGAAATTATTTCTACAAGTCTACACTATCTTCCAAGCTACAGTTAAAATCCACTACTGTACAAATTTATCCGCCCATAATGAAAGGTCTACATCTGCACCGGGAATACATTAGAAGGGTTTACACGATCTTCACGCAGTACGCACAAGTGTGGTCCATATACGCTCGACCCAATTTCGTGGTGGGGGCTCTTCGTAACTGAAAGGGCATGCTTAGAGCGACCGACAAGAAGACAGAACGACGACATACGATGCAGCAAGCACCTCGCTTAGGCCTGTTTTGAAATCCATATCCTCTGGGCGGACAAGTCTGATGCCACACCAGAAACGCTTCCCTAGGTACAGTACCGGGAACATGATCATAGGGAGGTAATTTGTCACGAACGTCCCCGTGTTCCATCCTCCCTTGAGGAACACGGAGAACCCGCTGAACTGAACGTACCAAGCCACAGATTCATCAGCATAACAGTCTGCTTGATCTTAGAGAAGGATATATCACGCACAAAACAAACGGTGAAGCACAAGATCGCAGAATAGTACGCCGCGAATGGCTGGAAGGGGGCACGATAGGGGAGGGACTCCCGGGAGATGCCCTGTGCTTCGAGGCCCTTACGGAATCGAATGTATGTGATTGCGATAGCGAACCAGCTAGATAGCCCGGCGATAGCCGTCCTGCACAGCGGAAGTATAAGTTGCGGCGCATGAACATGATGGATGATTTCTTACATGTTTGCAAACCTGTAGACTCTGGCAGGTTAACACTCAAATTCGAAGGATATTCTGAGGCTATGACGCACCATCCAAATACCCTGCCACTGCCATTACTAATGTCCATGTATGCAAGAGCGCCGAGAGCCGCGTTCACGATGAGACCCATGAAAGGCAGCCCACGCCTGTCAACTCTGGCGAAGAATTTTGGTGCGTTTCCATTGATTGCAAGACTATCTAGAAGACTTTGAATCAGGTTGTAAAGCATTGGAACTTTAAGGCTCACAAAGGGCACGCGAGCTGCAGTATAGGTCACTGTTCCCGGCGGACCATGCCGACGTCAGTATGCAGGCATTGATGAGCTATCCGATGCGCAAATCAGAACCCACACGATATGGATATGCGGCATAAGGCAGAAGAGTACTACTTACAGAAGGGAGACCTTTGATTCCGGCGGTCTCGATTGCGATCACGAACGGCGAGGCCGCGACGGTCCCAGTGGTGAGGCTGAGATTGGGGTTGGTGTGTGGCACGAGCAACCCGATAATGATAACACCGCCAATGTAGAACAGCAGGAGACGGATGTACACGTTCCGAATTGCCTTAGGTATATTCCGGCGTGGATTTTTTGCCTCCGCGCCAGCAATCTGAATCATGACATTAGTGAGCATGGATGCGTACTACATTTTTCGATAAGTCAGGAAGAGATGAGCAACACGTACAGCAACGACCTCTGTCCCGATGAACGCGAAGGCAGCTTGAGTCATGACAGACCACCAGGCAAGGAAGCGGCCAGTGGCGCCTGGAATGCCATTGTACTGTGCAAATGGCCCAGGGTGCTTCCAGTAACGAAAGCCGATGCGGTCATGATTCGGACCACCGCCGAGGTCAATAACAATTCCGAGGATGATCAAGCCAGTGATGGTAAATACTTTGATGGACGCGAAGATGAACTCAGCCTCGCCATAGACACCTGATGCGCGCGCGAATTTGGTCAGCGAATCATTGATATAATATGTGCGTGGGGATTTGCTGAGCGCTAGATGGCGCGCGTAAAGGTAGATCAACTGATGTGAAAGGCTTACCAACACCAAACATGTTGATGAGTACGACTACAGCAAGACACATGGTTATCCAGACGCCATTGTTTGTTGATTGGTCCCTGCGTGAAGTTGGTAAAAGAACCTAAGCCGGAATGTGACGACATACCAGTAATTTATCAACACAGCCGCGGCGCTAAGTTCAGCGGGGAAAATGATCGTCCAGTTGTACCCTGTACTATATGATCAGATCTGAAATGCAACAAAACGCAATGGCTCGCTCACAATACAGCCATCCTTGGGCAAACGACCATGCAGGGTCTACAAAACGCTCCGCAAATGTGATATGACCACCAGGGATGGGAAGGAATGCTGCCATCTCTCCCAATGATACCTGCGGGCACCAATGACGGTCACCTGAATTCCCGACATGACGAGTAATGCCTGGCTTACCATGGTGAAATAACACAGCGACCCAATCGTCGCATAACCCAGAAGAAGACCCACAGGACCACCATTATAGAGAGCATTCCCTGTGCTAAGGAAAAGACCAGTTCCAAGCACACCTGCACAGCTTGTTGAAAAACTAGGTGGCATCGTAATGGAGGTGCCCACATACCTCCGATACTATCAAAGACCAGGATTAGTGTAAGATGGCACCCCAGTAGACTACTCTGCGCACCTTATCATGGAGATGTGCCTGTTCTTCATCTGCCGTTGTAATTTCGGCTCTGAATACACCTCTGTGGAGGTGTTGGCTTCGGACTCGACGTCCGCGACCTTCGGTTCATCGTAGACCTCCTTACTGTCGTCGTCCATAGTTATGTTCCAGAATAAAAGGAATGGATATCCGGAATACAGCAGTATACCGACGGCCAGGTATACTTCTAAGAAGTGAAAGGGAAAGAAGATAAGGCAAGTGGGGGGCGAATGAGAAATCGGATACAAGATCTCGGGTAAACATGGGCTATCGCCAAAGACCGGCTAGACGTCGGCCCCGTCACCATGGAGGGGAGCGGATCACTGTGCAATGCCAAGAACGGTTAGGTACCGGCTCGCGCTGAGCCCGTTCTCGGTCGGCGACATAAAAAATCACAGGAGCAATTTTTCTGAAAAGAGGAAAGTTGACGAGCTTGAACTCGGGTGCTGTACCTCAGGCAGTAGACTCGCTCATTGGTTCGACAAGCACTTCTGATTGGGTTTTAAATCGAACGTGAGTCTCCCACCTGATCAGTGCAAACACGCTCTGAAGAAGAAATACTTGCAAAGCACCAAAACCTCTGCCCTGTAACACCGGTGTCTAGGTGCTTAGTAGCTTGCTTCCTGGGATATCTAACGGGCCGCAAGGGAGGGCGCTCGGATTTGAGATGGGCTCTTATCATGTGGAAGTGGTCGCCAGTGCAATGAAACACAACCCGATTGGCTCGGGTATGGATTGAATACGGAGTCTTCTGAAAGAACTGGAAACCCAGTTAGTAATGGAACGGTTGTCTATGAACGGTGTTGACAATTCTGAATCAAGAAGAATAATGAGTGTACTGTAGATTCCTTCAAAACACCTCAACAGTCTTGGTTTCGGCCTAATGATTTACGATAGTGACAGGCGTTATATAGTCCACCGGGGAAAATGCCGATGCACAAGCGCCCCGTAAGCTTGGAACCTACACTTCAGATGCTGAAAGATGGACGGCTGGTGCACGACAGCTGAGAAAGTAATTTCCAACTACAACAAAGTAGAAAAAGAGAGCATTCGTTCTGGGTGGCTGAGGAGTCACGCTGCAAATCGCGTGGTATGCGTGTCTTCAGTTGAGCGCTTGTCCTCATGCTCGCGTGGCTCCACTACATAGTCAACTTCAATCACGAGCTAAGCATGTTTACTTATCCTGGATCACGATGTCCAAATAGTACTTGCTTATTTATGGTCTCCTGGTGCTCTCTGGCGCAATGCATTACGGGCTCAACGTATACGACCAGGGACTGGAGAAACGCTGTTGGGTTATTGATATTTTCCAGATACTCGAACAACCCAGCTTTTCACCCGCTTTTACCATACTCTATCAATCCAGCAGGCCGCCATCTGCGAATTTGATCAGTTCTTTATCCACACACCTGCTTCGATTAGCTGAAAGCTTTCACTGAGATTCTGTGTCTCTTATTTTGTGAACAGACCAAGTCCTTGTCAAATCCTTAAGTACCAGTGGTGGCTGACGTACTCCATCAAGTCCCAGGGCTGTGGTATCAGCTTAATTCATTGGCATATTTTCAACTCACTGGTAAGATATTCCAGCTCATACCATGAACCTAGACTTTCTGTGAGTCTTTCACTGTGTTCTGCTTATCTCAAGGTGCGAATACCTGTCCATCGGAGCTGTTCAGGAGCCTGATTGCTAGATATGCTTGGTTTATGGGTGTCTTACAGGCAACCTGCTTCTACGCTTCATAAATGGGGCAAAATAGATCGTCCCTGATATTCTGTTCAGCAGACATCAAGGCATGAGTATATACATTGCCGATTCTGCGCTAATATCTCGGAACAACTTTGTATGGCTTGCTGGCTGTTGCATCTCCTCTGACGGGCTACCGATGAGACCACTCATCGATCAATGCTTGGTTTTCACCATATATACACAAGTACAGGATGAAATTTATCACTAAACTCGCTCAGATCTGATGTACTGTGGTGAGTATGGCTTTACTCGTTTTCAATATGAGATCGAAGATTTATTTTGAGCTTAGGTGCCTCTACGGGCAATCGGAGCGGGGCCAGTGTAGTGCCTGGCTGGTTTGCGGAGCCAGACATATGTTTCCAGGTTCAAGTCGAGATTGTTCTTACGAAGGGTCGGACTATGTCGGCCTCAGTTGACTAGACCGGAGCGTCTGCGATCACCGGGAAGAAATTTTGTTCAACTTCTTATTTCTCCGTGAACTGTGAGCTTCGGTGCTGCTCACGTCGTGCTCGATCGTGCTTGCCTTGACGATTTAATATCCTAGTGATAAAGTGGGGCTCGTGTTCTCTCTTCGACTCTTGATCTAAAGGTGCTAATACAGGGCGACGGGGTTATATGTGTTTCATTCGACCTGGCCTCTAGATACATACCCAAAAACATGTTCTACATCAACGTCTGATAAACTTATACTTGATCATTAAGTGCGTAAATCTAGCTAGGCTTTGCACGTGACCTAGTGCACGTCCTGGGGATTTGAGGATTCTACGATCAGAATTCACAAAGGGCGCCGAGGTCAGTTCTTCGGGTCTTCGTAACTCGCTATCAGCTGACCAGTGGCTATGGGTAGATCTGATTCTAATCCTCGAGGCATAAGACAGTTCCACAGTTGTACCATACTCAGACAGGGCTACGGGTGTACAGCTTGGGACCAACTCTCATTCGCGTATGGTAGACTTGGCAGTTGGGTGGCAGCCGCAGTGTCCTTAGGTAAAACATTGTGACTTGATCACTTCTTTCGTCGACTGCACGTCTCAATCGAAGCACGTCTCACGCACAATTCTTCCAAAATTCTTCCGGGCATCCGTCCTCGGCCCATCAGAACCCTCGTCTGTGTTGATCATGGGTTGCCGCTGTTTCCGTACTATTGGATGCCGGTATGCATATCCATATGACGGGAGAGTCGTGGTATAAATGCAAGTAGACCCCTGTTGCCGTCGTCATTCGCTCGCTCTACGCACATTATGCGGTCGCTGGCTCTCAGGGTGTTGGCGGCGGCATGTCTCCCCGCCCTTGCCCTTGCGGATGTGTATAGCTTGTCTGACTTGCAGTGGACGCTGAAGAATGGAAACGGCTCCATCGTAATCCCGGCGTCTGTCCCTTCGCAGGCGCATCTCGACCTCTATGCAGCGGGCGTGATCAACAACCCACTTGCGGGTATCAACGGTACGTGGTTGGCTCGCAATTGTGGGATTGTGGAGTACTGAAAATGTGGCAGAGTACACGCAGAGATGGATTGTCAATGACAGTTGGACGTATACTGCCGACTTGGCACCTTTCACCCAGGCTGTTCCCCAAAGCCCGTTTTCAAGGACTCTTCTGGTTTTCTATGGATTAGATACTATTGGCAACATCGTGCGTACCGTATCTCTAGCACCAGCGAGATGATTTTGATCTTGATGTGGACGCAGACTGTAGCTGGTCATCCTGTTGCTTGGGTGGACAACCAGTTCCAACAATACGTTTACGATGTTACCGATCTCATTGCAACCCCTGCCGAGACCGATAACAACATTACCGTCGCATTTGAATCTGCCTATTTCTACGGCCTCAACGTGACGTCATTGCCAGGCTTTGAGTACCCTCTCACGCCAGATGTGAGTGTTTTCGGCTCGCTATCATTTGCCTGCGTATCAACAAGACCAGTTCGAATATTCAGGTTTTAGGCAATATCTTCGGAAAATTCAGTCAGACTTTGGTTGGGACTGGGTGAGATTTTTCCTTGCGCGACATGATGTTGCCTTCTGACTCGCCTGTAGGGACCTGCTTTCGTCCCGGCTGGCATCTTCCGGCCCGCCTATCTAGTCACGCTGTCAGAGGTGCCGACTTTTGAGACTTCGGACGGCACTCCGGCCGCGTATCCCTTGCTTGCCTCTTCAGGTGGAGGCATCTTCATCGACCAATACTCGCTAGAAATCTCAAAAGTCGGACAGACGCCTATCGTGCCACCAAACCAGAATGCAGATTGGCTCGTGAATGTCACCCTTGGCGTGCGCTCTGTCCTTCCCAGCTTCAACCCATCGATCACGATTGACATTCCTGAGCTGGGGATTACCTCTGCGCCACTCAGCATAGACGCGATCCCGGCGTCCACTGCGGAGCCAACATTCGTGAGCGCGAGCATCACGGTCCCGAACGGAGTCCCGCAACTCTGGTACCCGCACGATCTTGGCACACCAACGCTATACAACTTCACGATCACGTTCGCGCTTGGGGATGTGTTTGGCATCGCGCTTGATAGCACCAGCTTCACTGTGCGCAGTGGGTTCCGCACCATTGAACTCATCCAGACGCCGTACCCAGAAGAGGAGATTGAGGCCAGGGGGATCACGCCTGGTGATCAGTGGCATTTCCAGATCAACGGACAGGCGTTCTACACGAAGGGAACGAACATCATTCCATTTGATCCATTCTATCCGCGCATCTCGACAGAGAAAGTGCGCTGGGTGCTGGAGAGTGCTGTACTAAGTGGGCAGAACATGGTACGTGACTTGTATTACCGTTGCCGCCACTTATATTTGACGCTCCAGAGTGCAGCTCCGAGTGTGGGGTGGCGGGATCTACCAGCCGTCGGACGAGATAACTGGAGTCTACGATTTCTACTCGATCTGTGATGAGCTCGGCATCTTAGCGTGGTCTGAGATGATATTTTCCGATGCGACCTATCCGCTCAACAGTTTCCTCCTCACGTCGATCGACCCAGAGGTCCGCCAGAACGTTCGGCGTATTAACAAGCATCCGAGCAATGTCCAGTGGGCGGGTGGCAACGAAATTGAAAACATTGTCATCGGCATCAACGAGACATACGCGAATGGAACCCATTATCTTGACGAGGTGTGTCTATCCGCCACAGAGTCATGGACATGCATTTGACTCCTTCTAGTTTGTGTACATGTTCCAAGACTTCTTGCACAATATCACATACGAGGTTGAGTCGTCTGTGAGTACACAAACGATATGTTCACTGAGAGTTTGTTTGTGAAAGTTTACTTGATTAGGTGCCATACACCGACTGTTCGACCACAAACGGCGTCCTCAGCTTAGACCCGTACGTGCTAAGGTTTGATAACAAGACTCCAGGCTACATATATGGAAACACTGGTGCGCCTATAACTTCTAGTGTCATCTCGAATTGCTATACTGATGAGTGGGCACCACAGAGCGCTATAACTATGATGCCTCGCAAGCCTTCAACTACAGTACATATCCCGTGTCAAGGTGAGATCACCAAACAAATGTAGTTTGTCTTTGCGTTCTGATGTGCTTAATTCTGCCTATAGATTCGTGAATGAGTTTGGGTGCGTCGCGTTGCTAATGGCTTTGTCACACGAAATTTATTTATGAGTTGCCAGTTTCCATTCGATGCCTTCTTTCTATACCTGGGAGGAAGTTTTAGAATCTCCGGAAGATTACTATTTCAACTCTACTGTCGTCATGTCCAGGGATCACCATCCTCCCGCCGGTAGTCTCGCATGGCCCAACCCCAATGCTCCCCAGGGCCAAGGCCAGATGACAATGGGCGTCGAGCTCTGGCTCCCGACACCAGGAACTTCCGACTCAAACCAAACATTTGCCCAGTGGTGCTGGAGCACACAGGTGTTCCAGTCTATGAACATGATCTCCGAGATCGCATGGTATCGACGCGGTGCAGGCCTTGGCGAGAATAACCTCGGTGCGCTCGTATGGCAACTGAACGACATCTGGCAAGGCGTCAGCTGGTCCTCAATCGAATACTCTGGACGATGGAAGGTTCTCAATTACGGCATGACGAGTATCTACACACCTGTCGTCGTCTACCCATTCTGGACACCAGACAATCAAACTCTCGATATCATGGTCACCTCTGATAGGTGGTACACGGTCAACGGCACCGCTCTCTTGACGTGGTACGACTGGTCTGGAAATGAGCTCATGGCGATGACGCATGAATTCTCTGTTCCGGAGCTGAACAACACTGTGTTGATGTCTATGGAGGGCTTTGACCAGATTCTACCCGAAGGTGCGACCCCAACGAACTCTTGGATGCTCCTGAACGTGACTGCTGAGATCGAGAACCGCACGGTTACGATGGAGTCATACGTGAGTGAAAGCTCGAAGTTGTTTAGTCGTGCAGGCTCCCGCTTACGATTTCGGCACCTGATATAGTACACTCCTACCTCTCTGGCATACGCCGAACTCGTCGACCCAGAGATCAGCGTTGAGACAGGGGACGATCTCACCTTCACGCTGTCTGCGAAGGGCGGAGTCGCAGCATACGCATGGGTCGATCATCCCTATGGCACCGTCGGTTACTTTGTTGATACCAAGACTAACAATCCCTCAAACGGATTCTACCTCATTCCAGGCATTGATCGCACAGGTCAGTGTCAATTTACGTCATGCTCTTGAGATGGATACTAACAATGCTCGGTCGTTTCTGAACATACAGTGCAATTCTTGTTGAACACTGAGCTCTCCGAGGTCACCAGTCCTGATCCAGCGGACTTCATGGTCAGATCGGTATGGAACAATACGCATATTTGAATAGATTACGAAAAATGTCTTCTCGAGTCACGTAGGATACCTCTCCAGAGGTTATGCATACATATGGTGATGATAAGTTACACCACTTGTGTGTCCGACTCACTTCATGTCTCTACCTTCGAACGTTGTTGAGATAGATTCCACTGTTGATGGAGATCGACCGTCCGACGAAAATGGCGAGGGAGGGGTGCAGAACAGTCAGAACTCTTAGAATTTCTGGTGCAGATGCACTTGCTTAAACTTCGTCGCGGAGGATCAACGAACAGTGACAGTACGTAGTGACAGCAACCGTGATGACATACAGACGACATGTACGTACAGAGGTAGTGCAAGATTTGAAAGAGTCTATGAGTAGACCAACACGAAGTTTACAATGAGTGGTTGACATTATCAATTACGTTGATGCGGGGGACTTGTATTGACACCTAGTGCCTACGGCAACGCCGCACCAAGCCCCAACTTTGTCTTCTTCATAATCGCCGTTAATGGCGCATCCAAGCCGCCTGACAGCCCGATGCGATTGCCTTCCGACCAACCCATCGCGGCGAGCATCTTAAAGCCAATATTCGTCTCGCCAATTTTGGGCGCCATCTAGGCCCCATGTAAGACGGCAAACCTGGCGAGTGCAGCAAAGAAATCTCGTACCTTGCCTACTTCTTCCCCTTCTTGATGTTTCGCGAGCGAGACTCCCTTCTTGCTATATCCCTCTCTTCCTGGAGTGTCCCAAGATGGTGCATACACTCTCAATATCGTCTTGATTTTATTCTCGTTGATCCTAGTTCCGGTCCTAGTCGTCTTGATCAACGTTGTATAACGGTTGTTACCCTTGCCTTTGCTCTCGCTCTTTAGATTAAATGCGTTGGCAAGTTCATGTATCTTCTTTCTCGTTTCCTTGTTCGCAGGCGGCAGCGCCATCGTAGATTTCCCACCAAGATCGAAAATGAAGCGTCGAATCTGTTGCTCGAGGGATACGAAGTTCGTGATACGATTGGGCATATCTTCGCTGGAATCCAGCTTCGCTGCGGCCAGCATTGCTTTTCTGCCTTTCTTGCCACCCTTATGGACTGCTATAGGATCCATGGCCAGTGCTAACCTATCTTCCGCTCTTCTGCGTTTGTTTTCAGCTTTCTTCGCGCGATCTTTGTTCCACTGCTCTTGAAGTTCAGAAGGGATATATTTATCCTTTTTGCGAGCTGACATGCGGTTGGTACGTCCTCGATGAATACATGGAAGAGAACAAAATATACTTACGTGCCGGTTGTACCATGCTATCTAGTCCTTCAGATATCGCGCGGAATAGCTGCTTCTTGATCCGCCGATCTCTCCCCGTCAGGATTGCTGCGTGTTCCTCTAGCATCTCCTATGCCAATGTCAGTCTTCAATTTTATTACATGGAGCAAACGGAACATGCCTCAATCTCATCAAAGAACTCGTCATCGTCCATATCCTCGTCCTCGTCGTCCCAAACCATCTGTACAGACATTGCTTCATCACTTGATTCTTCTAATGGCTTGACCTTTTGTTTTCCCTTGGGTTGGGCGCGTATCTTTTCCAGCTTCGTTTTAAAGGCCGTCTTGGGAGTAGTCTCATCGTCTGAATACTCTTCGCTGCTTCCTTCTTCAGCGCTATCATCCTCGCGGTCACCAATGAGTGCGCGTTCTTGCTCATCGATTACCTGCTCTACTTCCTTGTCCTCTTCTTCGCTCTCACTGGAATCACCATCCGTACCATTTATACCCTTCTCTTCCTCTACATCCTCTGCGTGCATGCGAGCAATATCTGCGATATCATCCATCGTGACATGTCGCGAGCCCTCGGCACCCATGCTAGTCACGAAGCTCTTCATAGCCTCCAAGGATACTTCTCCATCCAGGTCCATTGCACCCATACCGCTCGAAATCTCGTCCACTGCGTCTTGAGTCACGCCCGCGTCAGTATCTGAATCTCCCCAATTGATGTCAGAGTCCCCCCTCCGCTGTTCACTCTCTCGCGGGTCCTTCTCCCGTGCCTCTTGCTGCAAATGCGCTTCTGAAAGCATCGCGCCGTATGAGCCAAAGTGTCGTGCAGATTTTCGTCGAGCCTTCTTGGATCGCCTGAGCAATGAGCGCGGCCCGCCGCCAACAGGGAAGGCCCTCCTGGTTTGCTGCCTCCGGGGTGTAGGATCGAACGAGAACGAAACGGACTCGAATGCTGGAGGTGGAAGAACACTTGAGGGAATGGTCTCCGGTGTTGATTCCTCACGTCCAAATACTCTCGCTCCCTCCGCAAATTCGACGCCGACATCTGTGAGAAAAGAAGTCTTGGGGATCTCCCTAACTACGCCAACTTCCAGCTGGGATTGAACTTCCTGGGGCTGGCTTGCCTTTATACGTGGGTGGGGAGCTACATACACAATTACCTCTTCGTCGTCCTGTAGCTGCTCTCCAAGCACCCCAGTCGTGCGTCCAACTGGGATGCGGTCATCCGTGGGGTGTGGGTTAGGACCACTCGGAGTGGTGTCAATATAGAAACCCGTAAATTTTTCCTCCACTATTGTGGTATCTGCTGCTTTGACGGACGGACCACCGGTCTGTACGAGGGCAGCAGCAGCATCAACTTCTGCCTGCAATCTCCCTATGTCTTTAAAGTCGATCTCTTCGAGCGCCTCTTCGTCTTCAGATGAGGATGACAACGCCTCTCTCTCAGGAACGCCGCTGAATATACGCGTAACCTGGTCTGCAGTGGGAACATGGCTCTCTTCGTTATCAGCTATGACACTGCGCTTAGTATAAATCATTCCATCTTTACAAGCAACACGCCTACCAGCCGATTCGGATACGGGTTGTAATATGTCATCTTCGCTCTGGAAAAGTGTTGCGGTGTGGACTGACCGCACAAAGACGATGGGTTTGAGAAGGGGTCTATCTTCGAATAAAAGCTTCGACAGCGGTGCGTCGACTCGCAGTTTCGAGTTGAGATACCCTGCACCGCGACCGCCGCCTCGGCTATTCCCCCGTGGGGATGCATTTCTTATATCTCCACGTCCACGTCCCTGGCCTCGAGGACTTTCAGAGCCTCTAAGATGGATTGTAAAAACATTAGGAATTCCTCGGCCTCGGGCTCTACCTCTGCCTCTTGGTGTCTCATAGCCAGGAGTGGGAGGTTGATCTGAAAGTTCATTTTAATAGAATTCTCGACAATTGATCCAGACAAGTCGGGGAACAGCGAAAGACAACATGACACATACCAGCAGGCCACTGCTGGATTGGAAAGTCAAATTCATCCATATGACCACCACCACTACCACCACCACCACCCCTTCCACCCTTTCCCCGACCTCGGCCGCCCCTCCCATTTCCCCTCCATGGTCCCCGGTATGGGCTGCCGCGTGCATGGCTTCCTCTGCCGCCCCGGCCGCCCCTCCCACCATGGTTGTGATTCCCTCTAGGCATGGATAGGCATACACAATAGATAAGCTCTAGACACTAGCGATACACAGATCAGATTGTTCAGAGATACAGTGATCAGAATGACAATCCAAGCGTGAGCGATGGATAAGTATGCGCAGTTGAGTATGAAGTTACAAAGAAGAAAATAACGAGCGAGGAAGAAATCTTGTTAGATCAGAAGCAAGAGCGAGTAGTACCGGCAGGAAATAGGTCGCAAGCAGGCAACAAATTCCCGATTCCAGTTTTAGCGCCCGCGGATACACCGACTCCCGCTCCGCAACTGCGTTTTTGTTGGGTTGCCGCTTTCACGACTTCGCTATGACTTACCAGGGCTCGGAGCAGCTTGTTCATGACCGAATCAATCTGTTTCGGTTGATCCGGAGGCTGGAGAAAGGAGTAGCCGCTGCGAATTGGGACGTGGATGGTCTGCCACCGCAACTGACCTGGATCAAGACGCAGGGGACCTTACAGGCAAGCGGTCATGAATGTCTACAATGCTTGGGATACGCTTCTCTTAACAGTATCGACCGCTTTGCTTACAGACCATCAAGTTTGCGCGAAGGCTGCTCAAGAATGTCGAGCTTTACGAAGACGATCCGTACGTTGCGTTGCCACAATTTAGGTCAGCAACGTAACGAAGCTAGTCTGTAGGACAGCATCAACGAGATATGATCAGCTAAGAAGCTCTTTGGACAATGTAGAGAACGTTGTCAAAGAAGTAGATCAGGTATGTCCTGCTCGAATAATAATATGTTTTTGTCTACATCTTTCTGCACAATTGCAGCGAGTAGCACCCAAACAGTCCCGTCCACCGTCAATACTACATACGCTTCCGCCGCCCATACTTCCCGTCTCTGAGGGCCAAGAAGTGATCCCAGATGTGTCCTCTACAGAGGGTGCTGACATCGCGACGGTCCCCGGGGATGAAACTTCGAACGCGGCGCAGAATTTGTTGTTGTCTCCCTCGGATGGTGATATATTGTCGCCCACTGGCCCCATGAACCCTAGCTCAGCACTTCTCCCGCCGACTTTTCCCGCTTCGCCTGCGAAGACGACTGTGGCAGCCACTCCTGCATTTCTGCAAAATTCAGCGGCTCTACAAGAAGAACTTTCGGCACAGCTAGCGCAGATGGCTACACAGCTCAAGCGCAATGCCATCCATTTTTCGGATTCCCTTGAGAAGGACAAGGCCCTTGTTCAAGAAACACAAGAGAAGCTGGAACGGAACTTCGATGTCATGAAGAAGGAGCGGCTACGCGTGCGCGATCACCGTTCGAAGAGCTGGGGGACGACATGGATTGTCCTGCTCAGCATCGTGGTTGCAGGAGTTGGTTTTGTATTGACATTCCTAGTCATCCGTATCACTTGAATCGTGAGTATGTACGGCCGTCCCCCCGCGTACGTGCTGACGTATGCGGTGCTTCAACAAGATAGGGTTATGCATTCGCATGAATGAGTCATATTTTAGGGTTATGCATTCGCATGAATGAGCTATATTTTATGGACTAATTTTGAATATCTACTCGTGCTAATTGCAGCTCGTTTATCCTCGGTGATGTTTGAGATTACACGGCCTGATTGGAAGTCGCTAAACATGTCGCAATCTCTAGGCGAGTGAACGTACTCAAGCCCGCATGCGAACCCAATGATAGAATATGCATGTCGGCGTAACTCCTTTGACGAGTGTTCTATCCAGGCCGCCGGTCAAAACCGATCTCTCCATTGCTATCTGCGGCGGCAATAAGTCGTGTCTTTAGTCTCTTGCGGATGTGTCAAATTGATCCCTCTCAAACCGGGGTAGCGGTGGCTTGAAGGTTGTTTTCTTGTCATTGTGAGCATCAGGTCCGTACTGTGCGCTGTTGTTCGTTCACCACACACGTGCATGCCATCTACAACAAGTAGCGGACAACACGCGTAAGTCCACATAACGTGAAGCGGCGTCTGTTCGAAGGCGGCAATCCATGGACTGCGATGATTGCATGTGGAACAAGCTACTGTGCGACATTTGGTGGCGTTGGCCTGTTACGGCATTTTCCCAATCGACGGGGGACGAGAAAATACCTCGCGCAGGGGGTACAACTCTGGTACAGAACTCAAAAGCGCATATATCCGGGGTACGTTTGGTTTTTTAACAATTTGACTTGTCCTACTGGGAATGATCCAATTTTGCAAGATGATTGCATTACAAGCAACTTGGTTTGATATCCAGCCCCTTGTAATCTCGTCGTCCGTATGGGTCCTTGTATTCTGGCCAGTGAGATATCGCACAGGTATCCACTCTTGCTTGTGCATACATCCGTGCTTCGGTACTGCGACCGGCTATATGCTTCTATCGCGGACAAGACCCGTATGATAGACAATAGCCAATTCGAAGCACGGGAACTGCACGCCTCTCCATGATCTTCGCGTTCTACCTCTTAAGATGTAGGGCGCAACCCACCCAAGTGCGTCCGATCGGTCCATCGTCCCTTGTCTTTGAGCATTTTATACCAGAAACGGCGAGTGGGCCACAAGTGGCTGTCGCTGGGTTGATCTGGGTTGTTGGGAAGCGGGATGGGACGGAGCCAAACTGGACCCCGGGTCCGTGTGTGATGCCGTAAGTCAGAGGCCATATCTTACTCAGTGGTCCGTCGCTATTCCTCCTGCTTGTCAAGTCCGGACCGTATCTGTGCTAATTTCCAGCGAGCAGTGCATGCCAGCGGATGTATTGTCAGCAACATGTCGGATCTCCCGATTCCTGCGAGAGCGCGTTCTGTGATACCGGCGAAGCACGGGCAGAAAGTGTTGTCAGATTCGGGTCGTCCAGCGACTGACTTGTGTCTGACCATAGATCCCGCCGGTCACCCCTGAGAGGCCACCAGATTGCCTGGATTATGTTTTGTATGTATAGGCGTCGATAATTGCAGTCGGAACTCCACCCATTGGCTACGACTGGCAAAACGCACGAGAAGCACGCAGCTCCCGACCCAAGCGCACGATATCTGAGGGCCGTACACTTGGTTCCTGGCGATTATCAAACCCATCAACTTGTATACATCCGCTCAGCATCTGCCTACTTACCGCGCCTCCCTCGTCGATTGGCGCCAGTATATTCCGATTCTGCCGCTCAATCCCAATGCACTTAATCGCCTCTCGGCCTCCACGCTGCTAGCGGCGAGCGATGGGGTGCTGATAATGCGCACTACACACCCAGCTGACCTCATCTTTACGGAGATACGGCGCTCCCGGTCCCCCATGCCTTCGGACTTCATGGAGGTTGAGCAGCTCTGCTAGGGACGCTTACAAGAGAAGAGACCAAGGCCTCGCCCTGTGAAGTATACAGTACAGGGCACTGGATGATGGGTCGACAGCCTAGCACATTCCATGAGACGCCAGATCTTCCCGCACTCACTACCCCAACTACTGTGTAAGCGCCCCACAGGGTTTGCATACCTGCTGCCTGCATCTTGGTCAAATGCTCCCGCCGCCCGATCGTGGAGACGGCGCGTGCTCTCACTTTGTCCCCGGCCAAAGAACGCGCGCGGGGGTCCCGATCCGTCCGAGGGCGGTTGACAAACGAGACAGGCGCTATCGGGCATGCTGCACAAGAACCGCGGGGCCTGCAGCGAGAAGGGCCCGTCGCATGTAAAGCAGAAGTCGCGTGCAGATTGTTCCATGTTCCCTGTGACCGCGCCAGGCTGGGAGTCTGTCAAGGACGCGAGCGCTTATGCTTCGCACAGGAAATCTGGAATTGAACTTACATCGCAGGCAGGCGCGGGGAGTCACGAGAGCAGGGACGGTGGGTGTGAGAAGGGAAACGCAGAAGGTAGATCACATCTCGTGCTCCTCCCAACACTCTTCTCGTCAGGTGGTGGCTGACGGCGACATCGAAAGTCCAGACGTTCTCGAGAGGTCACACTCCTGGGAGGCAAGGAAGTAGTGATCGATGCTAGAACTCCAGGCTGGTCGCCAGGCTTGTCCTAGTGTGTCGCCCATCAACATCACTGTGCAATTGGAGTCTCATGACGAGGAGGTTCTAGCCATCGAGACCAAGACAGAACACGTATATCCTCGGACGTGGGCCATATCTCCATGGCGTCATCGTGTACGGTGAGGCCAGTTGCGTGTGACCAGCTCCCCCATGCGAACCTAGTCTCCACCCTTCGTGAGTCTATATGAGCATCGAACGACACGAGGCGGCCAGTGATCAAGAGCGCCCGTGGCGACACGGTATAGAGCTCCCCGAGCAGCATTCATTCAACGGGACGCTCTGGATCTCTAGAACAGGGCCTGCATAGCATCGATATGATCGATGTATTGGGCACGGAGATGAACGCTGGGCTCGTACGGACCCTTTTCTGCAATAAGTCCCAACTGCACTTCGCCCACGGCTGCATCCCCGATTCAGTCGATTTGCTCCCCTTCCACCCATCTGAACGACACGCGCACGCGACCTGCCTCACGTGTACGAACATAGAAATAGCACTGATGGCCCCACCCAATTGTACTGTATTCACGTCCAGCAGCGCACACGGTGCATAGTGTCACAGGATGTGGCTGTATTTCCGTTCTAGACCGCCGCCCCAGGGAAGACGCACCTCCGCCGCGGAGTGCTCACAGCCAGCAAGGGGTCCCACACTATGCTCGACAGCAGCCGCCTGGCCCCCTTCGAACTATCGCAGTCGTGGAGCGGAACGTTCGTCCGAGGCATGCCATCGCCGCACAGAACGAACCTCGTTTCTGCACACGTATTGAAGTTGTGATGCCGCCTCCGCCGACCGGCTCCGATCAGGTTGCGATTGTGTCGTTCTGGGCCGCGGACGACGGTGAAGCAGATTCCGGAAGACGGGGCAGAGATGGCGGAAGGCTGGTTGGGAGCCACCGGGCGCAGTATCGCCGCAGGCGGGAGCCCTCTTGCTGGACGCGACTCCGGTTCTCCGCATAAGAAGGCGGAAGATGACAGGCTGCGCTTCCAAATCCAGCGCAGAAGGCGGGCTGGATATTTATATAGCGCTCACGGCGTGGTCGTGGCGTCGTGCAGAAGACGATCAGGATGCAGCCGACGACGATGATCGTTGCCGAAAGCGACAGAACACATACGTTCGTATCCATTGGCGTCACCTCGGGGGCAGATAGACGAATGAATGCACCCTGCATGAGAGATTTCCTGATGATGAGGTACTGAGGTACGCGTGCCAAGGGGCGAATGAGATATGAAGATCGTCGAGCATGAGAGAACGAGGCCGAAGGCTGGTACAGTCACAGCAAGGGCCCAGATCGGACACTCAGACCGGGGTGTATGGAAGTCGAGATCTTAGTGAGCACTAGAATCTGAAGCTGGTTGCTCGCTCTAGGGGCATATACGACACCAGGATGCAGCTGATGCTAGCAGGTGATGTGAAGAGACAACGGTAGTGGTATAACGAGAGCAGTGTCAGGCGGGAGCATCGCGGCGATGGGGGAATCGTTCGAAGCCATCTTGAGACTAGTCTGATTATTATTGTATTCAACCCAGGTACTAGTCTGCCCTAGCCTTGGCTCTAGTCGCGGGTATGTTACAGACCGCCAGTCACACTGTCCCACACAATCCTGGTCAGGAACCAAACAACCCGGCGTTCTCGATAGCAGAGGCGCACACAGAGCATAGCCAGAGGACAAATACACCGCCCCGCGTCCAGAACCGCGCAAGAACAGCCACAGAACAAGCAGCGTCTGCAGTAGGAGATGACACGACCAGCTTGACCGCCACACAGAGCGCGCCTGTGTGCATCACTGACGACCCGGCGTGCACCGCGACCGCCCGCGAGTCGAAACGGCAAGCGTCCCCCAGTCCGGCCTTCGTCCGCTCCCAAATAGGCTAGGCATGTGTTGGCCGTGCTCGATGGGATGCGAACTGCTGTGCGTCATCATGCTGGAAGGGGCAACGCCGACCGCCACTGTCGGATCATTCTGTCAGCATATTCGTCGTTCACCGAGCTATGGTTGATCCAGACGGGCATTGCGCAGCTATAGCCTTTGCTGCGACCCCAGCAGTGCCGTAAGATATCCGGAGAGTGGCTGAGAGATCCGGGACAGGTTGCGACGGATCCCGGGTGGGGTTCGGTATCGACAGGGAATTGCTCGTTCGAGAATGCATGACGAAGGGGTGAGATAAGCGTTGAGATGGTCGTGGCTTCTGACTGCGGGAGGTTTAAGAGATTCTGAGGGAGTGTCGGCGAAAAACACGCAAGGCGCAGAGTGGTTATCGCTGGCGAGAACGGCGCATGCGTTTCTGGCGAATGCAGCACCCAACGATGGAGCGGTGGCTGAGCGTCACTTTTGCTAGTCGGCACCGCGATATATAGTTCAAACGCTGCTACCGAGCTCGAAAGCGGGATTCAACGTACCTCAGACCTCATGACGCGAACACGGCATGGAGGAGGAGTTGAACTTTCCATGGGGTGCTTTCGCAAGCGCGTGTAGCTTAGATTTCGTTAGCTGTATCGTTGCCCCAACATGACGACGGACGCAGTAGCCATCCGGGCATATCATACGCATTTCCTGATGTCATGCACCATGAGATGAGGAAATCCGCTGAAAGATTGGTAATGAGGCCAGCCGGAGGACGTCAGCGACAGCGAGGCTGTCAGCAGTGAGAGTTGCGACGACATGCAGACGCGCAGGGACGCGGGCGTCGTTGTTCCGAGCAGTGGGCCCATGACCATCTACCGGCTGGAAAACATCACGCGGTCCCGCCTTGTGTGTGTGCGGGACATCGACTCGGCCGATGTTCAGCGGACACAAGTGGCACCGCGCTCGCCTGCTTCGGCCATGCAGCTTGTAGCCTTGAAATCGATGCGCCCTCGACTTCTCGGTGCACAGACATGATCACTGTCAAGGGTGCGCTATGAAAAGATGACTGCGCATGCTTGCCGGGAGCATCTGCGCGCGACTGTTTAAAATATGCAAAATATAGACGGCGCGCGTGATTCGGAAACAGGTGGGTGTGCGTGTGGTAAGCCGAAAAGATTCCGCTGCACCCTGTGGATCACTTAGCGACGAGGTTACTTGAAACTGGAAAAGAATTACAGCATCAGCGAGAAGCCTGTTTAGAAAGAGAGAGAGCAGCAGATTGTCCACGACTACTAACTGACGAACGCGAGTCCCGGGCCTACACCGAATCCGTGGTCTATCGGCAATCCCCGGGAGCCCCGCTCATGTCCGGCGGACGCGGAAGGAAAGCGGTTCGCACGGGCTGGACCGCTGCCTCGGTCTCGATTGGCTTGGAATAGAGTGATCGAGACGGGTTTCGGCATCGTCCTACAGTTTTGGGGTCAGGAAACAAGCCCACGGCGGCGGCGACGACGGCAGGCAAGGCAACGGCGCGCCTGCTCCTTGTGCCGGGAGGGGCAATGTGGCTATTTCCTGCGTAGGGTTTTAATCCATTATTTGTCTATACCGAGCGGATAGGCTTTCTGGCGTTGAGTATGGCGACACGTCACTGTGGGGTAGAAGACCAGGAACGCGACGAGCGGGGAAAAACATGGCGGCACGCTGATTGGCCGGGAGTGGTCACAAGATGTCACGGTGGATTCAGGCCGCGACGCCGGTGGTCTAGAGTCCATTTTTCTGGGGTCTCCGAGAATGCGCCCGTTGCTCGTATTTGGTCGTCGGATTTGCCTTGAATCAGCCGCCCCCGGAGTCCTCTTCGTCCCCACCCACAACATCCACGGCCTCCCCACCTTCGACGACCACGGCAGCCCTGGCGACGACGGCCTCAAGCATCTCGCCGACATCGACGACCCTCCGCGCGCCCTGCGCAAGCTCCGCGTGTAAACCTCGTGCATCACTCAACTCGGCTTCGGACCCAGCGAACCGCGGCCTATCCCTCTTTGGCCATGAGCAGCAACTCTGCGTCGTCTCCCTCAGCCCCGGGTCTGTCGCCTCGTTTTCAGCCTTGTTCCGAAGATGGCACGTCTCGGAAAACACGCCCCGTTGCTGCAGCCCCGGCCAGTCGCCAGGTCCGCCATGCTGCAGGCAGAGACAGCGGGTGCAGGGGCTCCAGTCGGCGTCGGGAGCCTCACGCAGCATCGCCCGGTTCCACAAAGTCACGCCGAGCGATAACTGGAATTCAGACTCCCCCGTCCACGCAGAGTTATCAGGAAGATCACGGCCGCGCGGCGCTGGAAGATTACATCCATATTGATGACCACGACTCTTCTCATACCTCCCCATTCCGGTACCATTCAGACGCGCACAACGAGGCTGGGACGTCCCGGCTACTCCGTTCCTCGGGTAGTCTCAGGCCACATTCCTCCTTCCAGGCCCATCAGATTCGCCACGCCGGTGCTGCCTGTAATTCCCCCCATCGACACTTGACACGGTTGCCTTTCGCACAAGTATCTCTCCCCTCTCATCTTACTACCGCTTCCCCCCCGCTCCCGTGCTCCCCTCCATTCACACCTCCGCGCAAGCGTTCCTCACCTCGTGTCGCCCACGCCCAGTCGTGCGCCTTCCTGTCACATACCACTTCAGTGTCTTCCCTCTCAACCCTCGCCTCCCCAGCGTTTGCGCTTGATTCTCCATTCGACGCACCCTCGACTCCATCGCCGTCCCCACGCTTGCAAAGGAGGTGGCCCGATAGGTCAGTGATTCTCGCTAGCTGCATTCGGATGCCCGTGTCTATTTTGTATATTGTCCCTGCACGCATTAATTACGCCCATGAACCTTATCCACTGCGAAGGCCTGGCTTCGACCGTCCGGGAGCTGGTCCGGACGCGTCAAAATGCTTTGACACAGAAGCCTGCTGCCCGTGGGCGCGTGCTTCTCCGCCTTTTCTCTTCCTTGGCCTCTCCCCCTTTCACCGCAGTTTCGCCTTCCCCCCCTCTTCACTTTATATATATGATCCCCCCTTCTCATTTGATGCTGCCTCTATCTCGCCTCATACTCATCTCATTTCTCACAGATCTACCTCACCGCCACCAACGCTAGTCCTCCAACGTGCAATCATCGTTCATCGTGCACGCCCAACCCTCGCCATGTCCGTGCAGGTGCATGCTCCCTCTCCCATCATGTCCGGGCGATCCCTTTCTCCACCACCCTTTGTGCCCAGCCACAGTGCACGCACCCGCTCTCGCTCAAGACGACCACGATCCCCCTCAAGACCGACGTCACCCCTTGCGCAACCAGCACAGCTATCAACGCCACAACGACCACCTATGCGTCCCCCAAGTCGGTCAGAGAGGCTGCTACGTGACACTCTTCGACGTGCAGAAGAACATGAGCGGATGTTGAGCGTCCACCCTCTTCCTAGCCCGACGTTTGCTCCCTCTCCATTGCCTAGCTCGCCGTTCCTGTCGCCGACAGGGGTTCTTGCGCTACCCAGCAATGGCGGCGTGCCTGTTGCTACGAGTGGTAGTCGGAGACATAGTCGCAAGAATACGTCCTCGTCCATCGCGACCAATGCTTCTTACGATGCGTATGAGTTCGGCGACGCTCCAGCCGACCAGGAGTCTACGAGCGACGACATGGAGGAGAATGAGGACTGGCGCGGGCAGAGCTCATCATCGTTTGTCTATCAGTACCAGGGAACCCCAACGCAGGCAGGTCTGTCTCGGAACAGAAGCATGACTCACGCAAGCCGGAGGTCCGATCGAACCAGTGCCCACTCGGACACCAACACAAAGGCGCAAATAGCTTATGGTACCCCAGCGTCGCCCTCACCCGCACGGATGCAACTGCAGCGCTCTATCACCTCCACCCCTGTAGCCAATCGCACCTTATCCTCGTCAAATAGTCAGCCTTCGGCCGCTGCGAATACGCATATGCATTCAAATTCGCGAGCGTCTGCGGATGGCGAGCGCTCGTGCTCGTGCGGTCAGAATGCAGGGCTAATTACTCCACATGAGGCTGTGTTACGTAGCAGGCTAGAGGGGGTTTTGAGGGGGGCGAAAGAGCAGGAGAGAAGACGTCGGCATCCGGACTCGAGTAGCAGCGGAAGCGGAACCGGGAGTGGAAATTCGATGGCGAGCAGCAGGAACATGAGTGCGGAGAGCGATCTCTTCTTTGGTGCGAGCGGCGACGTGAGTATCGAATATGTTCTGGTCAGATTGCGCAGCGCTGATGATCGCAATCCTTATAGTCCAGCGTTACGTCTCTGTCATCGAGCGAATACAAATCTATTTCCGATGCCGCGGGAACGAAGAGTTTAGCGAGCTCGTCTACATCTCGACCACCGCCAACGACTCTGAATTTCCCGACGCGCTCTCCGCCATCTTCCAACGCAGTGCTTCGGTCACCGAATACCCCGAGCAAGCAGCTCGGGTCGCCCAGCAGCTCGCATAATGGCCTTAGCCCATTGACGCCACCACCTACGCCACCGTTCAACGCCCGTACAGCGGCAGAGCTGTGCAGGACGATGGACGGGTATGTATCGTTTGCCAACATCGAGGGCCTTGGTGTTCCTGAGGGCGAGGAGGATGACACAGATGAGGACGGTAAAAGCCGCGGGCGGTGGTGGGAGTGGCTGACTATGACCACGAAGAGCAGGGGCCGGAGCGAAAGCGCGAGTAGCATAGCGTCTCGATGATGCGGTTGTCCGGCTTGCACTCGGGAACTGCGTTCGACGTCGCGCTAGGTCGTGATTCCGCCTTTCCCATTCGTGCAGCTCAGCTTTGTCTACTCGGTTTCCACCCCGCATGTCTGGTTTGCGCGCGTCAATGCATTAGCGTCGACGGCGCAGCAGAATGCATTATGGCCCTCATATGTCTATGTCGTGCTCTACTCCTTGCTGTACTCGCTTTCGGTCTTAACATCTCCGCGTTACCCCATCAACACTCGGTCTCGTCGGTTTCCTTCCAAGCATTCTCACATTCCATCACACATGGTCACCGACTTCTGTCAACTCTCACATCTTCCACAGCCTAACCGTCCGTCCACCGCCTATTCCGCTCGCCTGGTTCCTCATTCTCATCGGGGCATTTTGCCAGCGGCTACCTGGCTCCCTATCGGCGCCGAAAACGATCCCAGCTACGATCATGCATTTTTCTCTTACGACTTGCCAACGATGTGCTGGCATGCTCAGCGGCCTCTCTGGCGGGGCCTGCACTGGTTGCTTCATGAACACGGATTTACGCTACTATGATGACTTTCACGTTTTTATTAACTCTTCTTTACGCTAAAGCTGGGTCGGTGTCCGCGCCCGCCTCTGGGAGGCAAAGGCCTGGGGCCAGAGGCGGGGTCTGTCGAGCGTGTTGGAGTTCTCTGGACTGGATTGGAACTTTTAGGAATTGGAATGATGATGATGATCTGTTGTATAGTCGGTACTTGTGCCGGTACTTGTCTCGCAATTTACATGTTTGTTGCGCCGCACTCTAGAATTGCGAACGGCTCCAACGGTGCGCGTTGCGAGGCACGAGGTGGAGACTTTGGCTACTTGATCACTGCTACCGCTAGCATTGGTGAGGGTCCAACCTAATCGTTTTGCCTTTAGGGTTGTTGAGTAAGTGCGACGTAAGCACTCGTAAGCAATGGTGGGCTGCGCTGCGCCGGCGGACGACGGGTGATGTGGGCACCCTATCTCGGTGCCTGTGTCATGCAATCATTGGAATGCATTTGGTATTCAGCTCATGTCTGGCCGCATGCTCAGAATGGGGTGCGGTGCTGCCGCTGTGCGGCGATGACGGCGAGACGGCCGTTAAGAAATACGAGCAGAGCGAGGCGCATCGATGTGGATGCGGCGAGTGCGTCGGATACATGTGCATCGGCAAGGGCGATACACGTAACTCGCTGTACAAAGCTGGTCTGTCTCGGGTCCTCCGTATTGTTTTCTCCGCCTGCCGCCCAGCAGGGCACCCTGGCACCCTGAGGCCTGCACACGCCGATCGCTGCGTCAGAGCAGATCCAGCGGCACGCGAGGCTGCGATATTAGCGTTGATCCCAGGCTGATCCCTGCCGCATGGCTTGCTCAGCGCAGGCCTGCGTCACGCCCTCCACAGGATAATGGGCCGGCGCGGATTGGACGATCAGCCTGGCGGTGCGGGTGGGGAAGGTCGTGCGAGTGACTGCTTACTTGCCGGTTACCAAGCCTTGTTGCGTGAGCTCGACGTCGAGCGGTGGCCGACGGCGTGCGCGCGCACTCAATCGTTAGAGGGATCTGCATCGAGACAGAGAACGGGAACCTTGTTGAGAGACTCACAGGTTGACGTAGCGTGTGGCCGGGCCTGTTCTCCCGCTCAAAGCCGGCTGGACGGGCTCTAGAAGCGTCCGGATAAACGGAAGAGTAGGTTGAGCGAGTGGGGAATGACTTCAGTGTATTGACGTATGCTGTTTGGGGAGAAATTGGTATCTCGGAGTGAGTGGTGTCGTTCCACGTTCATCATGCAGTGGGGACGAATGCACGGCTGCCGTGAGGCACACCGAATTGCAGCACTCACGGCAGCGGGTAAAGTGTGCGGTGTCTGTGAATCGCGAGGGGTGGAGAGTTGGGACTATGCATAGCTGCCGACATGAAGAGCTAGTACAATGCGGCCCGCGAAGGAAGATGAATCATGATTAATGCGGAACATTAGGCTAAATGCTTACATTTACTCGCACCAGACCACGAGAAGCAGTCCCCAAGTATAAGCTGTAATTCGATTTTCTCCAAAATGAGGACACAATCCTCTTCATTTCTCATAGGAACTCCTGCAAAGTGCCACCGTCAATCGTGTAGACTCACAATATTGTCGTCGCATCAGAGAAGTATACAGACCCTGCATAATTTCCGCTCAGCAGGAACAGTCCATGGATGAATATGACACCAAGAAACTCAGACCTACGGCAAACGCGCTCGCTCGGAGGTTGAACATTGCACACTGGTGATTTTCAATTTCCTTTGGAATCGCTGGTGGCGGGTTAGCGCCAAATTACGGCGGGATGGATAAGTAATTATCAGATAAGATAAGATGGAAGCACCGTTTTTCAAAATTTCTTCATTTGAAGTCGGCGAATACGATGTAGTCCACCTTACCATCTATCTTCATACGCCCGGGGCAAGTTTCCAGGTTTCTCTCAGCCTTGTGTCTGTCATTAAATATCAACCTTTCAGTCCCGGTGCCAAGTCGGTCGCTCACCCGCCTCTTCAAAGGCTCCAAGCTGGGTCGATTTAAAACTGTTGCGTAGCTCTACTGTGCGCCTGTCCTGTCGGGATTCACACGTCTCGAAACAGAAAATGCTTCAGCTATATGGATCGTCTCATCTCTCTCGAATCAGGCGTGAAATCTTGCTTAGGGATGTCCAGAAGCGATGCGCAAAGGTCGTATCCGTCGATGCCATCTATGTCCATCTCATCGAGATATCCGGAGAGGAGATACTCCAACCAGGATCTCAGCCGCGCATGATTCTGAACCAGCTGCTAGAGTATGGCGATGACATCACGCTACCCGGGACGGCAGACGCACTGCTCTCAGAGCGGAATCTAATCTTCGTTTTGCCCAGACCAGGCTCTGTCTCTCCTTGGTCCAGCAAGGCTACCGATATCGCTGCGATATGTGGTTTAAGGAACTCCGTGAAAAGGGTAGAACGAGGCGTGACGTTCATCTTTCAATGTGGGCACAATACAATCACCGCGGAGGATGTCTCTTCGTTCTCGGACCTCATTCACGATCGTATGACTCAAGTGGTCCAGCTTACACGACCCAATGCCGACGTTCTCTTCGCACACAAGTCCGCAAGCCCTCTCGTGACGGTCGATTTGCTATCAAACAACGCCGACGGCCAAGCCGCCCGCGCACGGCTGACCGCTGCTAATAAGGAGCTCGGGCTGGCCCTCTCGTCAGACGAAATAGACTACCTTGTCGACGCGTTCGTTTCTGGCGTAGCTCCCATAAGCCGTAACCCCACTGATGCGGAACTGTTCATGTTCGCTCAAGTTAATTCCGAGCACTGTAGACACAAAATATTCAACGCCTCGTGGAGCATTGACGGAGCCGCTCAGGACACCTCTCTATTCCAAATGATCCGGAACACCGAAAAGCTCTGTGGTAAGGGCACGATTTCCGCCTACTCCGACAATGCTGCCGTCTTTCAAGGACACAGTGCGCCCCGGTTTAATGTATCACTTGCGCCACACAGCCCCCCGCTTTACCAGGCGCAGATCGAGGATATGCCAATCCTGGTCAAAGTAGAGACGCATAACCATCCAACGGCGGTATCGCCTTATCCTGGAGCGGCGACGGGCTCTGGAGGGGAGATCAGAGACGAAGGTGCCGTCGGGCGGGGGTCGAAGCCTAAAGCTGGTCTGGCGGGGTTCACTGTCTCAAATCTGCTCATCCCTGGCTACGAGCAGCCTTGGGAGTCGGATTTCGGCCGTCCCGTCCACATCGCCTCCGCCCTAGATATCATGATCGACGGGCCCCTCGGGGCAAGTGCCTTCAACAACGAATTCGGCCGTCCCGCCTTGGCAGGCTACTTCCGCACATTTGCAGAACGGGTGCCTGCGGAGAACGGCGAGATGGAAGTACGAGGGTACCACAAACCCATCATGCTCGCCGGTGGGCTGGGAAATGTCCGGCCGTCCTTTGCTCTCAAGTCCAAAATATCTCCCGGTGCCAAAATTGTCGTCCTAGGTGGGCCGGGTCTGCTCATTGGCCTCGGAGGAGGTGCTGCGAGCAGTCAGGTCTCTGGTGCCGGCTCTGCTGAGTTGGATTTCGCCAGCGTTCAGCGTGACAACGCAGAGATGCAGAGGAGATGCCAGCAGGTGATTGATGCTTGCGTCAACCTGGGCGAGGGCAATCCGATCCAGTCCATACACGACGTCGGCGCCGGTGGCCTGTCAAACGCGCTGCCCGAGCTGGTCCATGACTCGGGCTTGGGAGCTACCTTCGAGATCAGAGACGTTTTGGTTGCGGACTCCAGTATGTCTCCCATGGAGATATGGTGCAATGAGAGTCAGGAGCGATACGTCCTCGCCATCTCCCCTGCAAAAGAGTCTGAATTCAATACTCTGGCTATCCGTGAACGGTGTCCGTTTTCGATAGTAGGTGTCGCTACTGTCGAAGAAGAGCTGGTCGTCACAGATCGGCTCTTTAATGAGGACGTCATTCGCTTGAAAATGTCGACGTTATTTGGCAAGCCTCCCAGGATGCATCGCTCTGATGATACCCGGGCAGTAATCTACCGCGCATTCGATGCCTCGTTGTCGCAATATGCGCCTTCAACGCCCGCTCTGACGGACAGGCTTTCCGTGGCCATTGAACGCGTATTGCGCCTCCCCTCTGTCGGCTCCAAATCGTTCCTCATCACCATCGGCGACCGCACCATCACCGGCCTTGTCACTCGGGACCAGATGGTCGGCCCGTGGCAAGTCCCGGTGGCAGATGTCGCAGTGACCCAAACGTCCTACGGCTTCGATGTGCAGTATGGCGAGGCCATGGCCATGGGTGAGCGCACACCCATCGCCCTACTCAACCCTGCGGCGTCTGCGCGCATGGCCGTCGCCGAGTCCCTAACCAACCTCACCGCCGCGCACGTCGGCGAGCTCGGCCGTGTCAAACTGAGTGCTAACTGGATGTGCGCCGCCTCCAAGGTCGGCGAGGGCGCTGCGCTCTACGCGGCAGTGCAGGCTGTGGGGATGGAGCTGTGTCCCGCGCTTGGTGTGGGCATCCCCGTGGGCAAGGACTCGATGTCGATGTCGATGAAGTGGAAGCAGGGCGCCGAGCAGCGCGAGGTCAGTGCGCCGTTGTCGCTTATTGTTACTGCGTTCTCTGGCGTCGAGGACGTCGGTGCTACGTGGACCCCCCAGCTCCGGACGGACGTGGGTGAGCCCACTGCCCTGATGTTCTTCGATCTGGCTGGGGGCAAGACCCGTCTCGGCGGATCGGCGCTCGCCCAGGTGTTCAAGGAAATTGGATCGGAAGCTCCTGACGTCGAGGACGCTGCCCTGCTCAAGGCGTTCTTTACTGGGTGCCAGAAGATCAGGGAGACGGATCCTGATCTGGTCCTCGCATATCACGATAGGTCAGATGGAGGTTTGTTCACCACTATCGCGGAGATGTCCTTTGCTGGTCGTGCTGGCGTGGAGGTAGTTCTCGACAACATCAGCACTGTCGCTGATCCCGTCTCAATTCTCTTCAACGAGGAGCTGGGTGCTGTCGTCCAGGCTCGCCGGTCTCAAATTGCTCGCCTCACAACCGTTTTCCAGGAAGCCGGATTTCCCTCATCTGCTATTCAATGCATCGGAAGTATCATTAATGGTGCCGCTGATCAGATCTTCACCATTGTCCAGAAGTCGAGGACGCTATTCTCCAGCACTCGTGCACAACTGCAGCAAGCTTGGGCAGAGACGTCTTTCCGGATGCAGTCTTTGCGGGATGACCCTATATGTGCAAAGGAGGAGTTTGATATCATCGCGGACGACACATACAAGGGACTGTACTATGATTTGTCCTTCCCGACAGTCTCCATCCTCAATTTTCCGACACGGCCCAAAGTTGCTATTCTCCGGGAACAAGGTGTCAACGGACAGGTAGAGATGGCATGGGCATTCAGCGCCGCGGGATTCGATGCGATCGACGTTCACATGTCCGACATTCTCAAGGGCACAACCTCGCTGGCTGACTTCCGCGGTGTTGCGGCCTGCGGCGGGTTCTCGTATGGTGATGTGCTCGGGGCAGGCAAGGGGTGGGCGAACTCGGTGCTCCTGAACGACATAGCGCGGGCAGAATTCTCGACCTTCTTCGAACGAGCAGACACTTTCGCTCTGGGCGTGTGCAATGGGTGTCAGTTTATGAGCCACCTGCGTAGTATCATTCCGGGCGCACAGTCGTGGCCGGACTTCAAGCAGAACCGGAGCGAGCGATTCGAAGCGCGTGTATGCGTGGTGGAAGTAGTACCTGGACGCGTGACAAGCTCGTCTGTGTTCCTACACGATATGGTCGGCTCCAAGCTCCCCGTGGCTGTCGCGCACGGAGAGGGACGGGTCTCGTTCCGAGCATCAAGTGGGCAGGAAGCATTGGAGTCTGCAGGATTGGTCGCGTTGCGCTATGTCGACTCTACTGGCGTGCCGACCGAAGTGTATCCACAGAATCCGAACGGTAGCCTAGGAGGCATCACAGGCATACAGACTCCCGACGGTCGTGTTCTCGCGCTGATGCCGCATCCGGAACGAGTTACGAGGTTGGAGTGCAACAGCTGGTATCCTCCGGGTTTCAAGGATTCGTGGAAGGGGGTGGGGCCGTGGTTTAAGCTGTTCCAGAATGCGCGAAGGTGGTGTGGTAATTAGAAGAACAATGAAGTAGCTCAAATAAATTGTACCATTTGAAAGTGTAAGACAGCGTGTTTCTGATACCTCTGGCAAGATTCAGTATGAGTCTAAATACAGTTGAACCTAGTTGAACAAGTAGTCCTTTGCGGAGGTTGAGTCACCGCAGAGAACTTATCCTTTCCTTTACTAGGAAATGGACTCTTTACATGGCTGGGGAATTTTTACTTTACAACCTAGTGGAAGGCTTGATAAATGCACCTTTTGCGGCTTTGGAAAGGAAAGAGGCTATTATACGCTGTAATAAAAGGTTAAATTCCCACGTAGTGCTATTAAAACTCTAATTGCACAATTTCACGTGTCTTTTGGTGGCATTGAAAGGATGATTTCTTTGTAGCGAGCAGAGCTTGCCGAGCGGGAATGAATTGGTATTCGGCAGTTTGCGGAGGAGCACTGTCCGATTGGGCAATTGAAGCTCGAAGGTGGGCAAAGAAGAGGACGACTGCGTGAAAAGACGTGTCTGCATCGTCTCGAGCTCGTCGCCCGGCAGAGGAGTGCAGTACGCAGTGATATCGATCCACGTAGCGTGCTGAACACGATGGAAATGAGAAGAACACCCGCGAAGGTCACCGAAAATGCCAGTCACGCCGCTGCCTCGCGCTCAAATTTTGGGCGCGTAAAAAGCCACACTCTGGCCTGATTCTTCATCTATAGATCCTCTACGCGTTCTCTCTTTCTGCTGCCACTTTTCTCTGCCAGTACACACCCAGCACAACCATGGCCGTCGTCGGCATTGATCTCGGTGCGCTTCACAGCAAGGTGCGTCACGACTGTCCAAGATCTGTACGGCTTGATTCTCACTTCGAATATAGATCGGTGTTGCGAGACATCGAGGCATCGATATCATCGTGAATGAAGTCTCCAACCGCGCTACGCCGTATGTATGCACATCTCAATCATAGTTCGCTGTTGCTAATGTCCGTCCCAGTTCACTCGTTTCCTTCGGGCCCAAACAAAGAGCGATCGGAGAAGCCGCAAAAACACTAGAGACTTCCAATTTCCGTAACACCATCGGAAGCTTGAAGCGACTTATCGGACGGACATTCTCGGACCCAGAGATTCAAGAGTTTGAAAAGAAGTTCACCAATGTCAATCTCGTAGATGTTGGAGGGACGGTCGGTATCCAGGTACGTGCTGTGCCGCTCGTCGCATCTCCCAGAAGATTCATCCGGAGGACAGGTCCAATACTTGGGAGAGCAACGGACATTCTCGATCACTCAAGTTCTCGGAATGTACTTGGGGAAGCTTCGCGATATCGCCGCGAATGAGCTCAAAACGGGCGTGACTGACGTCGTCATCACTGTCCCTGGATGGTTCACTGACACACAACGTCGCGCCGTCCTCGATGCGGCTCAGATTGCGGGTCTCAACGTTCTTCGTCTTATCAACGACACTACCGCCGTAGCCCTCGGTTATGGAATCACAAAATCCGATCTACCCGAGGCCGAAAACCCGCGTCATGTCGTCTTCGTCGATGTCGGCCATTCCAGCACATCATGTGCGGTGGTGGCGTTTTCGAAGGGACAGCTCACCGTGAAGGCTGCTGCCTATGACAGGCACTCCGGTGGTCGTGACATCGACTACGCTCTCGTGCGACATTTTGCAGCAGAATTCAAGGAGAAATACAAGATCGATGTACTCTCCAGTCCAAAGGCGACCTTCCGTTTGGCGGCAGGGTGCGATAAGGTGAAGAAAGTGCTTTCCGCGAATGCCGAGGCGCCACTGAATGTCGAGTCGATCATGAACGATATCGATGCTGCGAGTCGGCTGACACGAGACGAGTATGAGGGCCTCATCTCTGGCGTGTTGGACCGCATCCCTGGTCCCATGCAGCAGGCCCTGACGGAGTCTGGCCTGACTCTAGACCAGATCGATGCCATCGAGCTCATTGGTGGGGGCACGCGTATTCCTGCTGTACGGGCGAAAATTCAGTCGGTGTTTGAGGGCAAGACGCTATCGACCACTCTCAACCAAGACGAGGCTGCGGCCCGTGGTGCGACTTTCGCGTGTGCCATGCTCTCTCCCGTATTCCGCGTACGCGAGTTCAGCATGACCGATATTGCGTCATATTCGGTCAAGGTGCAATGGGAGCGCCAGCAGGATGACCAGGACGATGATACGGAATTGATAGTGTTCCCCAAAGGAAACAACGTCCCGTCGACGAAGGTGCTTACGTTCTACCGTAAAAACGCCTTTGATATCGAGGCACAGTACGCGGATCCTGCTACACTTCCGGGTGGCATCAACCCTTGGATTGCAAGATTCACGGCAAAGCAAGTCGGGCCCGACGAAAAAGGCGACTTTACGTGCATAAAGCTGAAGACAAGGCTTAATCAACACGGCGTCGTGTCGTTTGAGCAGGCGTATGTGGAGGAAATAGAGGAGAAGGAAGAGGCGATGCAGGTTGATGGTGAAGCAGAGGCACCCAAGAAGAAAGTCATCAAGAGGAAGAAAGATGTTCCTTTCGTCTGGGGTTCTACATCTTTGGATACCGCAATTCTCGAGAAATTCAAGGAGCAAGAGGCGCAGATGCATGCTGCCGATAAGCTCGTCATGGATACCGAGGTGAGTACTCAAATTTGAAGCTCAATTTCATTTCCCAAAGGCGCTCATAACAACTCTTCCAGGACCGTAAAAATGCCCTTGAGGAGTATGTGTACGACACCCGGGGACGTCTCGACGAACGCTACGCGCCGTATGTGAAAGCACAGGAGAAGGAAACACTTCTCGCTGCTCTTTCACAAGCGGAAGACTGGCTCTACACCGAAGAGGGAGAGGATGCGACCAAGTCTGCGTACGTTGAGCGGCTGGATGCTCTCAAGAAGCTCGGAGACCCGATCACATTCCGCTTCCGCGAGGCTGAGGAGCGATCCAAGGTGGTTAGCCAGCTGCGGGAGACGATTAACAACTACATGTCGCAGGCGTCGTCGGGCGAAGAGCGGTTTGCGCACATTGACGAGAAGGACAAGCAGTCGATCGTCGAAAAGTGCGCGACCATCCAGAAGTGGCTGGAGGACCAAATTGCGCGCCAGTCCGAGCGTCCGAAGGACGTCGACCCGGTACTGACGAGTGCTGAGGTGCTCAAGAGGAAGGACGAGATTATCTATTTCGCCACCCCGATCCTCACGAGGCCGAAGCCGAAGCCGCCAAAGGTGGAGGGTACGGAGACGCCGAAGAGCGGTACGGAGACACCCAATGCCCAGCAGCAGCAGCCTACGCCAGAGGGTGCGAAAAAGGATGAGGGCCCTTCGGAGATGGACGTCGACTAGATGCATTTCATTCTTCTTTGGGGACGTGAGCAGTAGTGTAGAGAATAATCTGTTGCTGTAGACTATTACCATACTTTGCAATCAGTGCCAATCCATTGCATTTTCAGATTTTTCAGCTTGCAGCCTGGGCCCAGTCTGCGTCGTGCGGGTGTCGTGTCTAGACGTGTCTTCGACATGCGAGACCACGTTGAGCAGCGATTCAATGGGCCCCACTGCGCATGCAAAGCTATATCCGTGCGATCGATACGTGGTCCGCCATCCGCGCTTACTTAATTATACGAAGGTATTATTATTTAGCCAATAACAGTGTACTAAGTAATCCTGCTAATTATGTAATAAAATACATTGCTGTGTCACATGACTTATTCCACTTCCGCAGTTGGCGGCAGTTCCGGCGGCGCAGCAATTAGCATCTTTACCGCATACCACTACCGTGCGTACATAGGTGTCCTCGCCGTCTATGTTCCTCACTGATTTTCTTTGCCTTCCATCAGTTCTCTCTTCTAAACAGCTTTTTCTACATTTTTTAGACTCATGCGATTGAGTGCCTATCCACTACTCCTGGCTGGCGTTGGTCTTGGTGAGCCCTGCGCACTTCGTAAACGAATCATTTCCAACCTGTAGGACCTCAGCTATCCAGCAAGTCGGCGCCGCCCCTCTTCGCGTCGTGGTCGTCACCTCGCACCAGGAGCTCTCAACCGGGCCTATCGCAGTCCCTCATCCTGCCACCCACATCTCGCCTCAGCCTCCTCACCACAGCAAGGACGGTGTGCATGCTGGAATGACCGCAGCCGGTGGCGCACATAAGCCCTGTGGCTCTCTCCGGGAGAAGGCCATGCGTCTATCTAGCAAGATATTTGGTTTCCCCGCTATGGCCGAGGAGGTGCATACTGAGGGCTGGGGGATCCACCGCCAACCCCACCACGAACATCGTCCCAACAAGGATCGTAACCGCCTCTCCATTCTGCCTTTCTATGGCACTCCCACGCAATTTGCGCCCGAAGGAGATGTCGCTGCTGTTGATGCGCTCCCCACAAAGATGGAGCACAGTGGCCACGGGCTTCAGAGGATCGATCCGGGGATGGGTCCGGTGCGCATCGTCCACATGAACGAACAAGATGACATGAGATCGCGCCGGTTCAGGCAGCACAACAAGCCATTCTTGCGCCGTCTGCACTTTGCACTTATGGCGCTTGGACCGTGGGAGGGACGCGCTGTGGCGTTTGTCCTTGGTGCGTCGTAGCATTTTGGCAATTCCAGTGCGATAGCTGACGTGTGTACAGGCTGCGGCATCGGTGTCCTCCTCCGCATGGTGTGGGTCATGGGCGTTGTCCTGGCACGCATGATCAGCGGTCGTCGCAACGACGAATCTGCTGAGGATGTGTTCGATTTGGACGCCGAGGAAATCCTCGTCCCTCCGCCCCAGTATACTGACGAGAAGATTGCGCTCGCCATTGACAATAAGGCCCCTCACGCTTGAATGACTCCGGCTCGGTCAAGTCACGATACACGTTTCTGGCATACCTATATCTTGTCTCATCGCTGTTCCGGGAATCGTTCTTAGTGGGTCTTTCGACCTATCGCGTCATGTTGTATAATTTGGACTGTCACCTCGATTCTGCTGCCCTTGTGGTGCGGTCGATGTGGACTCGGTTGTCCGTTTTCCCAGCTGCGTAGCACAGCGCCCGCTTGTGACGATATTCACAATTTTGAATTCATTGATTTCCTGCCCTTGATTTGATGCTCGCACACTCGTTATTATTTATTCTTGGACTCACGGAGCGGACATGTTGGTTGTGTAGTCTTGTGTGATACATTCTGGGTAGTGTTATGAACATGTCACGGTTGACTGCAAACAGTTCAACGTTCAACTCCGATAGTGTATATCTGGTGAATAAGGAACTGAAGAAGAATGTCCAAGCAGAACCTGCAGGCTTAAATGAACGTTGGTTCAATGTCACATCAATACGACAAATGTGCGGGTAAAGAGAGTAAGAACGGCAGTAGGTGAGACCCTTCCCCTTTGACCTTCGTACCGAGGCCTCAGCAGGGGCTGAGACATGAATGGGTGAAGTATGGTTCCATGAGCAATAGAAAGATTAAGTGACGATTAATGACAAGCAAGAGCGAGATCAGAAAGAAGATATCCCAACCAATCTGGTAACATCCGTAAGACATGCTGCAGAAATTCATTATTTTCCGCTATGGACCATCAGCTGGTACTCATGCGGCAAGTCTTGACCTCGAGACGATGAATTACACTGCATATAGAAGTTCGCAAGTGTACAGAGTTCCAGAGGACGTTGATAATTTAGCATAAACCTTTCTTATACTGGCATCCAGAACACGTCGAGGACCCAGATGGAGAGCTTCCACATTTTTGTTCATGGTAATGACTGTATCCAGGGCTTTCACACATGGCGGGGTGCAGAACTCATGTTCGTCAACTTGTGCACGCACAAAGAATCAGGTACACTCGAAATGCCAGCAGATCGCAAGTCGAGGTATGATTCAAGCAGAGTCGGTTAGAGGACGGTTACATAGAAATCATTAGCAAAGTCCCACGACAACGATGTTACTTGGGGACGCGCCGTCTTGCGCCGGCTGAAACCTTGCTCGACCAAATTGATGGATCGCACTGCATCGCGTCACGTCGCGGAAGAGTTTGTCTCTTATGTCCATCTGTTTACCGCACACACATTATATTAACAGTCTAGCACTGGATGATAGGGATTGTGTTGTGGTGTCTGGAGGGAGCTTTACAAAGGAGTATATGATACAGCAATAATTAATAATTAGCAGGGTGGTGTGGCTGTCAGTCACTATGATCACGGGGCGTTTACGGATTATTGCTCTCAAGGACAAACAGTTCTGTATGTTCCAGTGGATATTGCCACACCACCACTACCACCCTCAAACCTCTCCCTGTTCAGTCTTTATGTTGCATTGTCATGTAGTTCTGGTTGCTTGACAATTCCACTGTTGCCCAATTTTGATAACAAGCTATTCATGGCCCCTCATAGCACGACTTTATTAGTGGAGGACGACAGATTAGAATTGCCGAATACGAGTACCAAGGACTGGTGGAAGAAGATGGGGAGGGCATAGATGGTATACTGGACTTCCATAGTTAAACAGACTAAACAGAATACATATACGGCGGCCACTACAATAGTAGTATGCGCAGGCGCCTATTGGGCGACGCGCCACTCCAACAAAACAACATACAACTCCGGAAAGATCCAGTGAGTCGAAAAGTGAATCACATGATGCACCAGAGAGAAACCTTGTCAAGCAAGGTAACATTGCCAGTTGAATGTCACTAAGTATTCGCAAACAACTGTTCAGTCCCACCGTCTCTGCTCGCAGTGACCCCTCAAGTTCTCTGGCAGACTTGTTCATATTTGCACAACTTCTCTTCCTGTGATGACAACTTGGTCGTATACTGTAAAATTCCATATCGGTTGAGCGACCGCATGCTCAGCATTATGAAAAGGTCCGTCCTGCTGAGCGTGCTCTGACGCTCATCTAAGGCTAGCTACAGGATATTCCAAGTGAAATTCCAGATAATGCCAGGCTACTGCTCATTCCAGTAGCTGTTGAGCGACTGTACCCATCGGTGGTATTCGAAGAAATACTACCGCATGAACCTGTAATGCTCTCATTCCAGAAGACAACGTCTGTACATGCGGTTTAAATCCCAATGTTTCGACAGAAGCCAGTAGCAGGGAGTCCAGCCCGCACCTGGCTGGTGGCTGACTAGATGTTTTGTCTGTTCAGGACTCCTTGCGCTGGAATCGGCTGACTTGAGGCTTCAAGGGCGTCGGTTTGCGTCAACCCTTTCGCAAGCCTCGCACCGCTCTTTCATACTTTTTACCCTGCTGGCGTGCTGCATAACCTGCTGGGTTCCGTGTGACGTGGAGGTCGCCGAACGATGCTTCGACTGACATCTGACCACTTTCCCATCTGTAAGTCAAATTGTGAACTACGTGCTTGTGGAGCATCGCTCACATCTTCTGCAGTCGTACCGTTTGGGGTGATTGGGTATGCCGTCCATGATAACGTGCAGTATGTCAGAGCTGACTGTTGCCAGGTTCTATCGCTACCTATGGTACCTTATCCGTATCGCTGCTTCCCTCACTTATCGGCCAATTCCACTTCCGGAGAACCCAACTTATATCGCTGAGGAAGACGTCACTATCATAGTGCCCACCATCGATGCTGGAGAGGAATTCAAAGAGGCTGCACACAGCTGGTTGGTTGGGAAGCCCAAAGAAATACTCATCATTACCGAAGAGAAGATGCGCGGCCCGCTGCAAGAACTTGCGAACGCGGTTGACCCCACGCGTATTCGCGTCCTCACTGTACCTTATGCCAATAAGCGCCTCCAGATGTCGCATGGAATCAAGCACACCACCTCGGACATAATTGTCTTCGCAGATGACGATGCCATCTGGCCACCGACATTGCTACCTTACGTTCTGGCTTGCTTCGAGGATCAGAAGGTGGGCGGAGTCGGGACCTCGCAGCGCGTCCAGCCCGTAGGGGATCGTATGACTGTATGGGAAGTCCTTGCCGCGTTCCGGCTTTCGATCCGCAACATCGAAATAGCCGCATCGACACACATTGATGGCGGTCTCCCCTGCCTTTCAGGACGTACTGCCGCTTATCGCACCGTTATTTTGAAGGATCCTGAATTCCTGCATGGCTTTACGCACGACTATTGGTTGGGAAAGTATCAGCTGAATTCTGGCGACGACAAGTTTTTGACGAGGTGGATGGTCAGCCACGGCTGGAGCACGTACGTGCAGTGCTGTAAGGAGGCAGAGCTACTCAGCACGATGAAGCCGAACTGGCGGTTCTTGAAGCAAGTCTTACGGTGGACGCGAAATACGTGGAGGTCTGACTTACGCTCGCTGTTCATGGAACGGCATATCTGGACTGCGCATCCGTACGTGGCATATACGATGGTTGGATTACCCTTTTTTGTATGGGACCGCATGTCGATGACTTACCTTTGTTCCAGGTGGATAAGTTAATCAATCCGTTCACGCTCCTTGTTGGGCCGTTATTGGTTTGCTATGTAGTCTACAAGAGCACGATACCTGTGGATAACGGCGGATATCATCTTCCGGCTTGGTAAATCATCCGTTCCTCCAAGATGTTACTGAGCTCATGTGTACTTTTGCATAGGAATGTTGTACTTAGCTATTTTGCTTGGTTACTTGCCACCAGAACAGCCAAGCTGCTTCCGCATCTATGGTATCGTCCACAAGACGTGATATACGTCCCGGCCTTCATTCTCTTCGGATACTACTTTGCGATCATGAAGATTTACGCACTGTTCACCCTGCATGAGGTCAGTATGCACTTATCGTTCGGCTTTTTGTCTTGCTATGACTGACCTCATCGTGTTTCGATTCACATAGACGGGCTGGGGAACTCGCTCTGGCATCGGCGATCCGACCGCTGCCACGGCTGCGGCTGATGCTGGCACTGAGGCCAAGTCGACGGGCTACCACAAACTGCAGGAAATACCTTTGCGAGAATTCCCGTTCACTTCGATGGACCCGTCTCAGCGCTGTTAGCCTGCGAGCGTAGCAGTTCCTGTCTCGCCATGCTCATTGTACTGTATTCACGATGATTTTGTAACAATTCGTCTGCCTGCATTTTTACATGTACTTACCATCCCTCACCTTAAGTACCTCAGTGCTCGCGCCGTCACACGTCATACTTCCGACAAGGAGAAATATGCCATGGATTCTACTTGTACGTCTGTTCATAGTATACAAAACGAAGACGACTGTGAGTCGACATTATGATGGAACGACGCATCGCAAGCAATGGTGCAGATAAAGTCCTTGATTGTATGTTTTGCATGAGATCCTCTACTGAAGCCCCAACAGGTGATATTAGACGGTTCTGCTCCTCTAATGGACCAAGAATCGATGAACTAAACCTGACCACCGGGACCAGGTGCAGTGCCTGATGTATTTGCCTGCGTCTCGATGGGCTTCATCGCTGGGAACAACAGCACCTCCTTAATATCTATGAGGTGAAAGGTAAAAATGAGGAATAGCGTATGAATTTAAGGATGAAAAGACGCACTTTGCGAGTCAGTCAAGAACATGACCAAGCGGTCGATGCCAATACCCCAACCGCCCGTGGGGGGCAGTCCATGTTCCAGCCTATGGTACGTGATGAGCACAATCGTCATCAAATGGCAAATGCGAATATTTACGCGTCGACAAATGTCTCGTCAATATCTTGAGCTTCGTCGTCGCCTTGCTGCTTCTGTCTCACCTACAAAAAACTGATCGTTAGACGGAAAAGGTACTTTCATATACTTGACTTACCTGCTCCTCGAAGCGCAACCGCTGCTCGAACGGATCGTTCAACTCGGTATACGCATTGCAGAATTCCTTGCCACACATGAACCCTTCGAATCGCTCGCAAAGCCCTGGCTTCGATCGGTGCCACTTGGCGAGGGGCGACATCACTTGTGGGTGTCCGACTGACTCAGATAGACATAAGACTCAATAAACAAGTTTGAGAAACGGGGCTACGCACCTATGAACGAAGGTGAAATACAGAGCGGCTCAATGAATTCTCCAACAAGCTATTGACGTGTGAGAAATGTATAGATACTGGTATGGAGAGAAGTCACCTTGTCTAATAAACGCGTGTTGGTGCGGGGTTCGCTGCAGTCAACGTTATGCTGTAAAATACTTAGTATAAAGCAAGCTCCTCATTGCGAAACTTACTTTCTTGCATAGATCGCGCAAAAACTGATTGGTCTCCTCCGTATGCAATGTCTCACCAGGCGGGAACTTCACACCCAGCTTCTCCTCCAGAGTTTCGATCATGTCATATCGCTTCCACGGACGCTTAAATTCGAGATCATAGACCCTGTCGCTGTCCTTGCCCTCGGGGTGGAACTGTAGCGTGGTCTTACCGCCGGTCAAATACTTGACCATCCCCTCGACCAACGACTCGGTCAGATCCATGATGTCATACATGTCTGCGTATGCCATGTAGAATTCGCAAATTGTGAATTCGGGATTGTGGGTCAGGTCAATACCCTCGTTCCGGAACACGCGTCCGATCTCGTATACTCGATCGAGTCCGCCTACCACGAGCTGCTTGAGATAGAGCTCTGGTGCTATACGCAAGTACAGGTCGAGATCAAGGTCGTTATGATGCGTGACAAATGGTTTTGCTGTTGCGCCACCGGCAAGCATGCTTGTAATAGGCGTCTCAACCTCCAGAAAGCCAAGGTTATCAAGAAACTTGCGCATATAGTTGATAATTTTACTCCGAGTAATGAAGATGCGTCGGGTATCCTGCGAAAGAATCAAATCCAGATATCGCTTTCTGTACCGGGTTTCCTGGTCTTTAAGACCGAAGTGTGCAGAAGGCAGCTGATGTAGATTCGGAGCAAGGAGAATCATTTCCTTCGGCGCGATGGACAGCTCCCCTTTCTTCGTACGTGTGGGCGTGCCAATGACACCAACGATATCTCCCCGGCGGAAGTTTTCGTGGACAGAAACGAAAGCTTCTGAGTCCTTCGCATCTCTGGCGGACTGATCAGATGCGAAGTCGAATTTATATACAGCGGGCCGTGTGAAATGCTTACTGTTTATTGGCCATAATTTGCACCTTTTGACCTTCACTGTGTAAATCATAGAATCGGAGAGCCTGGCCAGATGGTCGGACATTATGGATACGGCCCGCCAGGCATTCAACAACGCCTTCTAGTCTTTCACCAGCCTGTATCTTGCCTTCTACGCCGTACGTCTCAATGTAGCGAGGGACGGAGATTGAAACGTCGAACTTATGCGGGTATGGGTTGGGCGATTGTGTTTCTCGTAGTTTTTGAATATGACGTGAACGCAGCTCGAAGTATTGCTAAGGAAGTATCAGGTTAGCAATCGTGTGTGGTATAGTGGGTATTATAAGCTCAGCAGAATTGCGATCATGCTAGCTCAAGCGATTAAACAGTACGTAAATTACAGGTGGTAAATTGTAGATACGGCAAGTATCTCTCCGAAAGACCCGACCCCATCATCATAGAATCGTATATATGACTCACGTTCGGACTGAGCTCGTCTTCATCTGCCGCGGCTGCCCTAGCAGTTCCAGCGGGCTTAGGGGCAGCAGCAGCCTTTTCGGCCTTCTTGGCCTCCTTTGCTCTATCCTTCTCGCGTCGCTTGAGCTCCCTGATCACGTTGATTGTGATCAGGCCAAGTGAAATAGACGGAAAGAAAGAGCACGCACGTCTTAGAGATCATTTCGCCCGTCACCGGGTCCTTGTGTGTCCCAGCATTCTCAGTAGCCATTCTTCGAATCGATCCAGGAGGTCTGGTGAAGTTGAAGGGCAGGAAGAGAGGGCGTGCTGCTAATCTAGACAGGATCAGCCTGTGCATGCAACTTTTTATCAGGACTTCACTTCGGAGTCACGATCTGGAAGGGGAAGGTCTGCTTACGTAATATTGTGTATTGCAAGATAATTCTCTCGGTTAGGATCCGCCGGTAAGTACGTTCGGAGATCAAAAGCATGGACTCCGCCCTACCGGTAAGCGCGGGCGCTCCTCGCCTCACCGCCATAGTCATACTGGGATACTGGGCATTGACTACACGCCGCACCGACATCCTTCACTCTCTTTGTTGCCATGTCTTCCAACGACGAGTATTCGGACGACGAGGTTGCCTACTACGATGAGGACGATGAGATGATGGACGACGAAGACGATGGTAAGTCCGAGCGAGTGACTGCAATTCACCAATTTGCTGATAAAGCCCCAGGCTCAGCGTCCGACATGGAGCTTGACCAGCTTCATGACCCGTCCAGGCCTCCGACCAAGATATACGAGGTTGAATACCAATCCCTTAGCCAGAGTGAGGTTGAGAAACTCATCAGCAGCGACATTGAGTATATTAGCAGTGTATTTGGTGTCGACGTGAGTGTAGTGTCTCTGCGCCGCTGTATCGTTTGAGCCCTAAACTTTTAAAGCCCGATGAAGCGTCCCTTATGTTGAGATGGATCAACTGGAACCGCGAGAAGCTTACAGAGAAGTTTATGGACAATGCCAGCGTGGTTTCCATCGCGGCGGGCATCGCGCTGCCTGAGAAGGCACCAGAGCGCGCTGCATCGCCCTCCGGACGTTCGCAGCCACCCATATCTTCATCCTCTCGTGCAACTATTGGACCCTTTCGCAACAGTCGGCGCGTGACTCCTGAACAACCTAAATCCGGCAAGACCAGAATTCTTGAGCGACTTACTCCTCCAGTAGAAGATTCCAAGTTTGTTTGTCCCATTTGCTTCGATGAAAGCCAGACAGAAACTCTTGCGCTATCATGCGAACATCAATTCTGCAAATCCTGTTGGAGCGCATATATTACTAGCAAGATCCGTACAGAAGCCGAATGTTGGGTCACCTGCATGGCGGAGGGTTGCTCCCTGGTAGCTCCGGACAAGTTCGTGTATAATGCGCTCAGTCAAGACAACGAGACTCGGACACGGTTCAAGGAGTTGGTCGTTCGTCACTACGTGGCCGCCATGCCGAACCTCAAATACTGTCCATATCCGTCCTGCACACACACGGTGTCATGTCCAATCAGTCTTTCCAAGGAATCGTTGGCGACAATGGTTCCGATTGTGACATGTGCCGCTTCTGCATCGCACAGATTCTGCTTCGGATGTAACGTTGACGGTGACCATAGGCCAGTCATATGTGCTGTCGCGAGGATGTGGCTGCAGAAATGCCGCGACGACAGCGAGACAGCCAATTGGATCAAGAGTAACACAAAGGAGTGCAGCAAGTGCCAGAGTACGATCGAGAAGAATGGGGGTTGCAAGTAAGTCGGCCGGTTCGCTCTCCATGTGGCGCAGACATTGACATAACTTAGCCACATGACTTGCAAGAAGTGCAAGTATGAATTCTGTTGGGTCTGCATGGGTAAATGACAGTGTCTATCAACCAGTATTTGTTAACATGATGTCTGGTAACAGGTCCATGGTCTGAACACGGTACCTCTTGGTACAATTGTAATCGCTACGACGAGAAGGCCAGTGTTGATGCCCGCGATGCCCAATCTAAGAGCCGAGCCTCGCTTGAACGCTATCTACACGTGCGTGTCATTCAAACGCGCATTGGGCAAGACTAAGTTATCCCAAACAGTACTACAATCGGTGGGCGAATCATGAACAATCGAAGAAGTTGTCTGTCGAGTTGTACGCCAAAACTGAGAAGAAGATGGAGGAAATGCAGGTTACGTCGGAGCTCTCGTGGATTGAAGTGCAATTCATGAAGAAGGCTGTAGACGAAGTCATCAAGTGCCGCACGACACTCATGTGGACGTATGGCATGGCATACTACCTCGAGAGAGGCAACGAAAAGGAGCTCTTCGAGGACAACCAGCGGTAAGCAATTTATAAATTGCATGGTGTATGGAGCCTAACAGTACGTGGCAGTGATTTGGAGCGAGCGGTAGAAGAGCTTTCGGAGCTTATCGAGTCCCCCTTCGATCCGGAAGTCATCAAGGCACTTCGGCAGAAAGTAACAGACAAGACGGTGAGCTTTTGAGACGCTACACAAGTACTTGACCCGGCTCATTGCGCCGTTGTATGAAGGTCTACGTCCAGAAGCGCAACGAGATTGTGCTTGAGGACACTGCGAAGGGATTCACGGATGGACGCTGGACATGGAACATGCCTGTGGAAGGGTTCGACTAAGTAACTTCCCGCTCTCAAGAGTCAAGATTGCCTGCTCCAGGATTGGCCTCGTCGCTGTGCAACACGTTACATACTGATTCACTTCACATTATCGCAACGCATTGTCCCGCCCTATTTTTTTTTTGTCACCGTGTATCTCGTGCGACAACTGTAGTTGTTGTCGCCGGTGTTCTCCTGCCACTAGTCCCGCAATGTATCTGAAGACTTGTCCACATGTATACTTCCGCTACGGATGTTGTATCGTCGAATTCATCACTCACGCCCACTGTTATCTCATCACCTGTACGTGTACTTAAGCAGCCTTAGACGTCTTGTAATATCCTACATCGAGAGCCTGCTCGAGAACGCCGACAACCAGCGCAACTCGAGATGAACAGAAACGATGTGTTGCGCTCAGCAAGATGCATGTACGGGTAAGAAAATCTACAAGGTGGCATAGGACACGGGTGCCTCGGTATACGTACATCTACTCCGAATCCGACTTTGTTAGTACAATCCTATAATACAACATCACATTCGACTTTCAGTATCACGGCAGGTACACCAAGAACAAGAATCAACCGATCAAACGAGACGAGACCAACAGACTGCACCCAGCGCTCAATACTCCGCAAGGGGGATGATCTTCCCCGTGTTGTAGTACGACGGCATGCGCTTGCGGCGCCCGAGCAGCTCGACGTCGCCGCTGTCGAAGAACGAGTAGCCGAGCATCGTGTCACCGTCGTCGTACTCGCCGTACCCCTGCGCGGCGCCGTTGATCGGGCGGCCCGTCTTTGAGTCGCGCAGGACGCCCGCGTGGTCGACGAACGGTTCCGGGCGCGGGTTCGCGGAGAGGTGCAGCTGCACGAGGATGCGCTGCACGTCGAACAGGTACCCCTCGAGCGTGTCGAGGAAGCGCCGCGTCTGCAGGTGCTTGGACGAGGCGCAGCTGTCAGAAGAGAAGGGTCAGCGCGGCGGAGGAGATTGCATGTGAGCGGCGCGTACACAGAGATACCGTCGTCCTTGATGATGTAGCCGATGCCGTACCCGTCGGCGGCGACGGGTCCAAACCCAAACAGCCGCAGCGCAGGGTTGCCGCAGTTCGACGTCGACAGGATGGAGGTGCCGAGGGTATGCCAGCCCGGATCGACGAATATGGACGGCAGCGGCGGCTTGTCGACGCTGCTGGCAGAGCTGACGCTTCCCCCGGGGGAAGGCGGTGCGTCGTCTGCCTCTTTGGCAGCTGCTTCGCGCTCACGCTGCACCAGACAGTACAGCGCATATAGATGTCTAGAAGGGCGACACCTCAGCGCCGGTAGCAAGCAAGAGCAGTGTTGCTGGAGCACACACCTGTCCTGTCCGAGACCCTGGCCGCACTCCTTCGTGAGTTTTACATGTCCCTGGCACGCTGTGCGCAATGCCGAGATCTTCTGTGAAAGCGGCGCCTCCGAGAAAAACGTCTGCATAGAGGTACTGTGTCAGAGTCGAACACCCGGTACGCTAGCCAGCTCACCTTCACGAAATCCACCGAATGCGGCTGCGCCGTACGTATCGCCTCCGTGCGGCCATGGAAGAAGTGTTTCGTCATCGCCGGCTCGTACGTGCACTCAATGCGCCCTGCACCACACCGCCGCAGTCAGCACCACAGCATCCACACAGCACACACACACCACGAATCACGCACCGTATAGCCCGTAGTATGCCGCCTGGAACGCCATCTGCACGAACGCGTCCGGGCTAAACCCATGGCTCGTGATGAAGTTCTTCCCGTACCCCTTGAACTCGAGCGCCTGGCAGTCGTTTTGGCAGATCAGATCGCTCAGGTGCGTTTCCGCGAAACGAATTGCCGCGCGCAGCTCTGGGTAGAGCGTCCACTCGAGCTTCTTTGGCGCGGGGTCGATCACGTAGCTCGGCGGTGGTGCAGGCGGTGCTCCACGTGCGGGCTTGTACGATCTGGCGTGCGGCGAGAGAGGCGCGTGAAATAGTGTCGGCGCGGACGGGTTGATCGAACGCGCGAGGAGCATTAAGCCCTCGGTGTACACGTCCGCAGCGAAGCTGCAGAAGGTGAGCTGAGTGCTCGGATTCTAGAGGGCGAGGAAGAGACGTACCGGAGCACGGTGTGGCCGTCTACGCCAGTGTGCTCAAAATTGATCCCTGCAGAGCCATCCGCGCATACAATGATTTGTAGCTGTGGAAGGAGTCTATCAACCCTGGATAGACATGCGGGAGAGATCTGAATTACCTTGTCGTACCACCGATTGGTGCACGTTCCGACCTGTACACCTCCCTTGAGGTTGTATGAACCACACAGGAAATTATTACACATCTCCGCCAGGTTCTCCGGCGTCGCGTCATCCAAGCATACAACAAACAGCGCGTTGTCGATGATCTGCAAACACGACTCGTTGTTGTGATTCCGCGAAAGGGCCTTGCGCAAGCTCGACCAGACTTTGCGGTTCTCGGTGGAGAGCACACCGATTGAATTACGTGCAACCTGTGCAGGAGGGATTGGGACGAGCTGTAAAATTATCGAGAGGACGGGAACAGACCTCATGGACCGGCAACTCGTCAGCGTCCTTCACGATCGCTTGCAGGTTCCGCAGGACTTCTCGTTCGGTCAGCACAGGGCGGTTGTCTGAGTCGAGGACGTCGAACCAGTCTGCAATGCGGAACGATCAGCAAGCCGCCGTTACCGACAAGAAGCCAGCCGACGAACAGAATTGCCCTCTTCTCAGAACGACGATATGCCTCGAGTCGTTGTGGATCTCCATCCTACAGCCTCTCTGATGATACCATCGGAGTCAACATCAGCGTCGGACAAACCACAGGGCGGGACACACCTCGGTGGGAATGCGTGCGGTGCCGAACAGCCTGGTGTACTGGTCCATGTCGAGCGGGGTGCCGCGCACCGTGTCGGGCTCGAGCATGCCCGCGCGGAGGTCATGGATAAACCCCAGCGACGAAACGATCAGCGTTGCCGCGCGGGGCAGCTGTGCTCCGCGGTCAGGCGTCGGGTCATTCCTGGGCGATTCAGCGGTCGAGATGTGGCGTGAGCACGGACAATAGAAGCAATGGGGAAAGCGAACAGGGATACGGACACTCACTCGAGCACGAAGAACGGGTTCAGGGCGAGGACGACGGGGTCCGAATGCGAGAGGTACGACTCGTACCTGCGCAAAAGCTCGGCGTGAGCGTGCATATAGCCAGCGAGCCACGAGCAGAGGCGCACCAAAATTCCTCTATGTAGCTGTACAACCGTACGAGCGCGGCGTCAGAACCGACGAGTCGACAGAAGGGCTAGTCGCGCACCTCGCCTTGTCCTCCGCATACACCCTCAGACGATCTTGCAGCCGGGGTCCGTCATGCTGGAGAAACTCCTCGACGGCCTGCTTTGTGCGCTCATGTTCGCGGGGGTCCTGGAGGGAGCGCAAGGCGTCGAGATAGCGGCGGCAACTGTCCTCGAGCGGCGGGATAGGGAGGCGGGGAAGCTCGTGTTGACGAGAAAAGGTGCGCGCGGGCGGCGGGTCCGAGGCGAACTTTGTCACTGGGGAGTTTGGGGGGTGGGTGAGGGTGAAGACGACCATCGTGGGGGTCAGCGACGAGGGTCAGGGGCGGAAGGCGAGAGAAGAAAAGCTTACGGGGCGGGGACGAACGAGGGGCGGGAGGGGACATGAAGCGTGTTTTATAGAGTGATGGATCTGGGGAGAGTCAGCACGGGATGGGCTGAGATAGGCAGCGGCCAATGCTGGTTAGCGCAGTGCTAGCTCGTGTTGCGGGGCATCATCATGCATCAACATTTACATACTCGATGTCGGCCCCGCCCGACCTTTCGCCTCGTCTCTGCGGCAACTTGAGGATGTCCTCAGCGAGGCCGGCTCTTGCAAACGGCAGGTCTTTGCTCGCTTTCGCGGGCTCTGTCGCGTCTGATGCTGGGCCTGGTAGCGCCGAATGTTTCCAGATCAAGACACAGCGCAGTGGAGGAGCGAGGGCCGAACAGGCTTGTCCGGGACACGACACGGCAAAGGCTATGGTCCAAGCCCGAGCCCCGGAGCGTAGAGGTGCAGACGCGGCGAGAGAGCCGGGTATATGTTTCCCTGAGCCCGACGGTGCGTGTTCAGTACAGATGCGATCTTCTCAATACACTTCTTCAAGTTCCAGACTCCGAGGGTCGCTCCTCCTCGTGAGAGCGCCCAATTGTTGAACACACCACGCAACTAGCGTTTTTTCTACTTGTCCCCAACTGGCTCAGCCGGATCGGTACTTCAGTGCTTCAATATTCACTCACCCCTCCTGGTCCTTGTTGATATCAACATAGGCCGCTGAGCTCCAGGTTCGCGACGCATACATCCGGTGTTCAACGGCCCCTATGCAGACGAGCCCATATTTTTCGCTGTCAGCATCAAACGGAGGTCGCGTGCAAAGCAGATATCGACGACTCATAACCATGTTCCGAGGAAGTACATTTTACAAATTGCCCTCGACGTATCTTATACAGCCCATCATGCGGTAAATTGAGTTCCAGACCTTCATCCTGATAGTGACGTCTAGCCCAATGCACATAATTAACGTCATCTAGCCCACGTCGCAAAACTCGGCATATTCAGTTCATGTCAACCTGTAGGGTTGGATTCGGTGTCATCTCGATTACTCTTCCTACTACGCCGGAATAAATGCTCTTTGAAATGCCATTTCTACGCTCAAATCAAACAACACATTGCTGTATCCCTCGTGACCATCCGCGCTCGCGATGAGCTTCTGGACGCATCCCCATGATCAGGTTTTTTGAATCCCGTTTATTGTCCGCGAGGGCTGGCCCTATGTTGTACGTTCGCTGCAGGTGCGATATCGAAACAAAGATATTGGACAGATCAGGAATTTTAACATCAAATAAAGCTCTGGACGTAGTTGAATCCCGAAACAGCTCGATGGCCGATTGTCTTATGGAGGCGGACCATATGCATATATGCACACATGGGAGCCAAAGATCCTGATTCCAAAGCTTGCTCACTGCGATCCATGGAAGAGGCCATTGCGCTATAGACATGTCACAGATGGCGGAGAGAAGGACAGGCGACTCGAGCCCAACTTCATGAACCGATTCAAGCCAGGACGTTCAAGATGTACCAGATTACCCTTCGACGACTTGCTGAACTGCTGCTACGATGCTGCCTTATGAAGGACATCAGCAAAGTAATTGCTCACAACACACACACACACCTTGAGCTGCGCATAAAGCACATGAATCAGGGCACACCGATGTGGTTAGTCACCGTTTGGTCTGATATCGTCACTGAATGTGTCCAACACAAACACAACAATAAAGTCTGTCAAGGGGAGAAGCGTCCGAGAGATCTAGAATGTACGCATCCATTACATGCAGTGTAGGCGCCGTACGTACGGCATCTGCATCATTGTTTGAGTCCGACTTCAAACGTTATGAGTGATTAGTACTGTCAACTGTCACGCCCCCGTGGATGGAGGGAGTTGCAGCTGGCACTGGGTAGATGGAAAGAAGGATGCTCTGAGTGGATTCGCATGCGGGAGGAGGGAGTTCTGCACCGGGGCGTGTACCTCTGCGCTCCAGAGTCGATGTGCGGTGGAATGCTTGGGAACCGGACGTCGAGGCCAGATGGCAGCAGTGGGCGCGTAGGCATCAAGATGTCGAGGATGCAGTGCCACTTGTGCAGATCATTGAACGGGACGGTGAGAGATAGGCGGGGGTGTTAATTCGGACACACATGGGTGCGATGTGCTCGAGTCCGGTGATCTTGACGCTGGTCGGTTAAGCCGGGGCCTGTGTGGAGACCGAGTCGACGACGACTTGGGGCTGCAGGCGTGCCGGCATTGCGAGTGGGCAGGCAGCCTCGGCAGGGAAGCGAGCAGCGTCGGACACCCCTCTGACGGCGGTGCCAGAAGGTCGGGGAGAACGATTCACCGCTGTCTGTCAATTCACCCGCCCGCGTCTGTCCGCCATAGGCATCGGTGTACAGATTGCGTGGGAGACGGCGAGCTACGGTGGGCAACGGGAGGCGTCGGGAATGGGCTGCTGAAGGGGGAGGATGTATTAACAAAGACTGTGTAAGCTGGAGAGAGTTCGAAGACGGAGGAGGAGGAGGAGGAGGAGGAGAGATGGGCCGCGAGATCGAAACGTGATGGACGACGTTGGCTGATCGCCGGCGCCCCGTCTGCTAGCGCAGTCGAGTCGAGGTCGGGCAGTCGTCGTCCGCTGTCCGCCATTTCCACGTCTGTGCTCATGCGCCATGCGAGTCTCCTCCTCCTCCTCCTCCTCCTCTGCCTTGTCCTCGCGAGCAGCAGGGCTGCAGCCATCCCCATGCCGCTCCTCCAGGTACGTCCTTGCTCAGTCTCTCCAGCCAGGGTCGCGTCCGATTGACGCCTCGCTATCTTATCCAGCTCGTCCGCTGCAGCCCCCTCCCCGATCACGCTCAGGTGAGTCTGCCGATCGTCCAGCCCTCTCCCTTCTCGACCTCTTCCTTCCTTCCAGCTCTGTCCACAACCCCCGGCCGTAGCCCTGCACTCGTCGTCTTGCCCCCCCGGCTGGCAGCACCCGTGCGACCACGGTCCGTTCGCAGTCTCCTCCTCCCAACCTCTCCTCGCTCACCCCTCGACAGCTTCTTTGCCTCTATGGCCCCACCATTCGCCCCTCCAGCTCGTCAGGCACCTCCTCATGCACATGCTCACCTTCCTCCCCATCTCGCCCACCTTTCTCGACTACGACGCCGCCGCCGCCTCGAGCAATAGCGTTTCCACCACCAGCGGTACGTGCG